GCCATTGGACAGGTTCCTTGATAAAGTTGTATGAAAAGAAAAAGATTCCATTGAGCCAATAGATAGCAGTGATTCCATTAGTAATAGTGAAAGTCGTCCTACACAATAACCCTCCTCCCTCGTCTCCCTCACACCAGCCTTGAAGGTTTTCAAAGATAAGTACAGGTTAATTTTATTTTTCTTTATATTTTGTATTTTATTATTTTGTATTATATTACAGTATCGTAATCATTTTATATGAACATTTTTGCGTTGTGGAATGAATAATCTGAATTTTCATTATTTCTAATGGGGAAATTCGCTTTGATATACAAGTGCTTTGGATTACAAGCATGTTTCCAGAACGAATTATGCTCACAAACCAAGGTTTTACTGTATTTAAAACATTTAATGTGGTATCATAAACTTGAAACCACCAATTGTAGCATCATAGTGGGCTGGAAAGCACAACTATTTTCCACTACTGATGCAATTTCTGTGACTGGTATGAGATTTGAGTTATGCCATCCAGAAGGCTGCTCCTCTCCTGTTCTATTTGTTGTCAAATGTCTATAATATGTCTAGTCATAATCAAGACTCTATTACAGCCAATTCAACATGCCTAACAATGTTTTATCACCTCTTTTTTGAACTCAGTAGCAGACCATCTCTGCTGAATAACATGATGCTTTGTAGACTTGTGAAAGATTGAAGCCCAGTTTTATAATGTGAAATTTGGGAAGTGGAAACAAAAGATCCTTGCTAGGCATGCAGAAATCCCTTTACAGACATCAAATAGTTATAAAGAAATAGTTACAAAATTTACAGGATTTTTTAAAGAGTGCCCACTCAACCCAAAGCTTACTGCTTGCTTTATCCTCCAACATGTTGAGATTAAAATGCATTTATAAGACTCATCATTCTTTGGCCCGAATCCTCCCAACATTAGACCAATATATGAAAGAAATACTACTCATATTAACCATTAAAAGAACAGTTCTCCACCTGCTGGATGTTTTTTGATGGCCATGCAAACAAAAATCCAGTCACAGTTTTAATAAATGGTATATACTGTCCAGAACTAATGGGGAAACTTGCCACAAATTATGTTCCACTTTAAAATAGCCCACAGCTATCAAATCCAAGGCAATAATATATATACACTTACATGTTTCTTTTTAAGAACTTCTTGGACATCATGAGATTTATTTGCTGCACTAGGTTTTATGGAAGACTTTAAACTGGAAGAACTATAAACCATCTTTGTATGGCTAGTAGAAGTGGGAAATATCTGAAAGTAGCAATAACATTTATTATTAAACACTGGTTGTGCCATGAAGCTTTGTATAAGCGACCTACTTATACTGGTGAGAAATCATCCTTTTAAAGCTGAAACCAAACTGTTGCTGGATCAGATGTCATGATAAACCAGGGTTCTGCTGGTACCTTGGATTATTGAGCTTGAGCAGCATAATACCCCATTCTTTGCACTTGTCTCCTCCTCTATGTGGAAGCTGATAAACTGTAGACCTTCAGATTATTTCTCCCAAGGAAAACCAGAGTAATAAACCAACAAACTACAGACAGAAATTTTCTGGTTGGTTTTGCTAGCTGCTCTAGTTTGCAGATGCAGTCAAGAAGGAGTGACAGTGATATTTTAATATGCTACATACTGCATTTTGATCATGCTTAGAAAGCTTATATATTTATAATAAAAGTGAGAAGTGGATCCCAAGATGTTTTCTGTGCTAAAGATTGTTTCTACAAAATAAAATATTGAACATAGCTAAAACAGTTTTGTGCGCTATTGTGCAATAGTGTGTTATTGGTTTGAAATACATCAACTACAGACAGTTGACTGGTATTTAAAGGCTTCTTAAATACTGGAATAATAAACTGATAACACTTGGCAAAGACAAAAATTTATAGATGTATCTCCATTTTCAAGATCTCCTAGAAATTCAAGATAGAACTAGAAAAAAACACACTAACCATATAGAAAATGGCTAGTAAAGATTACTAAAGAATACCTAACAGACATTATTACACACTCATATTTGCCTACCTGAGCATCCTCTGTAGAAGCAGTGGACTGGCTGGGCAATGAATGTTGAGACTCTGGTTGATTTCCACCTGTTGCTCCAAGACGATGTTTAACTAAGGACTTGTTAAGGACATAGGAACCTGATGTCAATGGTTTAGTGACCTGCAAGGATTCGTATTGAACAGAAAACATGACAATGCATTTTAAAATATTTTCTATTTGGAAGCACCACAGACACAAAATGTTTTTGAAAAAGCATTGAAAAAAGAAAAGCATTCAGGCCTATACAAAGGTACTACACCTTTGGCATATTGCTGTGTGCCGTTACAGGTGGAGTCTGTGTCAGTAATTGCTGCTGCAGGTGAAGCTGATGATGAAGAGGAGCTGGTGTCTGCTGCTGTTGTTGCTGGGATGGCTGTAAGGGCTGCTGCTCGCTGTTTTCTCGGTGCCACAGCACTCGTATAAATCGATTGTTCAACACTGCTTCTGTGCTAGAAATCGCTTTTCTGGCTTCATCATTTGTTAAGTACTGAATCAGAGCTGCTTCAGGATCGTTCTTGAAGGCAACCTAAGGAACAGATATTTAGAATAATAAGTCAGTACTCCCCAACAGTGCTATGTAGAAAAATAAAGCACAAATCATAAAGCTGCCTTTAAGTTTCAACTCCAAGTGTTCAATAGGGAATTCCAAATCTAATGTATTTTTGAAACCTTTTTCTAAAAAGATGCCAAGCAAAACTGTTCCAGAGTTTGAGAAATCTCAGAAGCACTCTCCAATCAGAATGTATTATTTCAAGAAATAAAAACTATGGGGAAAATAAGGCATTTTCTATACATCAAGTCTATCTAAAACTAGCTTTAGCCAACCTAAACCTTTACTGTTTAGTTCAGATGCAGTAGGTGAAAACCAGTTTGAATATTGTACAGTTATACCTTCCAAGCTCAGGACGCCAGCAGTTCCTGAAATATTTGTAAAATATTTTTAAGCAAAATTTGAATGACTTCATACTCCATGTGTGCCACAACAATTATGGGTTCAGTTGTTCTGTTTGTTTCATTTTCATTTTAAATTACATTTAAAAGGACTCCTTTTTACCCCTAATGAAATGAATGGGAAAGTGAAGCTACGCAATGTTAACTGGGGACTATTTTTTTCAAACTAACTTTTAAAAAGGCAAAAATAACACCATTTGCCTGCCTCATAAATTCCATATTTTGTGGCTATCACTTTAGGAGTCCTAGAGTAGTTTTCCTTGTTTTTTTTTTTTTAATTTCCTGTTGTGTACAAAACCCCTACAAAGCACTGCAGTGGTCTACTGAACTCCAGAAACAAATGTAAGTGTAGGGAATCAATTCTTCACATTGGTTTATTTTACAAGAGGAATTAAGAATATAAGAACATAGGAAAGTGATGGTAGATCAGACCAATGGTCCATCTGGTCTAGCACTCCATTCACAGGTGGCAAAACAGCTGCCAACAGGATCCTTAAAGCAGGATGGGTACAAGCTCCTCACCAACTGGTGTACACAGGCATGTCACCTCTGAAAACTGAGGCAGCAGAAGCCTACTAGATATTGGTAGCTTGCTAGTATTACACACATTTACACAGCGAACACACAACACTGATTTTACATTTGTAATTTCCCCCCCTAAAAGCTTACTTCAGCGATTAGGTTATATTGGAACCCTTCTTTCATGTTAATAGGAACCTAGTATTAAATAAAATAAATAAATAAAATGTATTTAAAACTTTTATATGCCGTCCCTTATGCATGGCATCTCGGGATGGCTCACAATCAGTAAAATCAAATACATTAAAACAGTCTTAACAATAAATAACATATAGCCAATAAAACATGACTGTTGCACTAAAATATTAATTTTTTAAATAACGGTTAAATAAAAAGGTTTTGACCAGGTGCTGAAAAGAGCATAAGCTTGGTGCCAGGCAAACTTCTCTGGGGAGCACATTCTATAATTTGGGCATCTCTGCAGAGAAGGCCCTACACAGAGTAGATGCCCTTTTAACCTCCCTTCAGGGAGGGTTCTTGGAGCAGGGCCTCCCATTTTACATTTAAGCATTTTTAATTTCTGTTTTGTTCTCTTATGTTTGCTCTTCAAAAGCTCCAAAGAAAAACAAATATGGAATCTAAGCAAAAATTGTGGGGTACAATGTATTCAATAATTTGTGTCAGACTATGCTTTCAAAATGTGACACTAATTAAAATAATGTTAAACTGGGGTCAATCCATTTATTTATTAAAACTATAAACTATTCCAACAGTCTCATATTTAATTTTATTTCAGTTAATACTTTAGAGATTTGCTGCAGATTGATAACAGATAATGTCTGAAAGGGTGTGTGAAGTTTAAATATATTTATGAAATTTTAAAAAGTATAAAAGCTTTGACTAGACTGTGGAACAAATGCAAATGCGGTGTTAATAACAGTTAATGCTGCATCTTAGTTTTGACAGTAGAGAAATGGGAATAAAAATAAAACAAACACTGAAAATTGAAATTAACATTATAGCAAATAAAAGGAAGGTTTTACTGATCAGGGTGGAGATATAAAGAGTAGCTTACAATATAAAATTAAAAACACAATGAAAAATGCTTTCTAAAACAGCACATTACAGCTTAAAAGGAGTAGGATCAAAAATTAAGGCAATCAGCATACAAATTTCATAAAGCAGATAAATATACTGAAACATTTGGGGAGATAAAATGTTTTATCAGTGGTGTTTTAAGAGTAGCACCACTGAGAAGACCCATCCTCTGGTTACTACCCAGAACATCTCAGATGGAGAAACCTAAAATTTCACTGAGATGTCAGTGTAATTAATTATTTAATTAAGTGTAGGAACAGTCACATGTGGACAAAGGAATCCATCAGGTAGGTTCAAAGGAATAAAGGGCTGCAAAAGTTCAAATCAGATTTTTTTAAAAAAACATTTTATTCAGAGTTTAGTTTATATCAACCCAAACACAATAATAATAAAAAGTCAAAGTAGAAAAGGCTGATGGAGGGAAGGGAGGGCCAATATTCATAGGTTTGGTGATTTTTTTGAAGAAAACTGTCAACTTTTCTTCAGCATGATGTTCAATTGTTTAAGTCATGCAACATTTTTAAATCATAGCCCTTGGAATTACCAGGAATTCTAAGCAGAATACTTAATTGATGCTATCTACATATAGCATTTGGCATTCATCATTTTCCCTAAGGCATACTGTTAAAGAGTTATGAACTTACGAATGAGCAACCACAACAAAATACATATTTAACCACTATAGCAATGAGCTAACTTCTTGATGTAATAGAACTGCTATAGGATCAATCTACTCCATGTGAGTTTCGGACAGAGTGTTTCTTTAAACATAAATCTAAAGCTAGATTTTAACAAGTACCTTGGGATCAAAAAAAAGTAAACTGATAAAGTGTATTTAACATTAAAGAATTGTAGAGTTGGAAAGGATTCTGGAGTTGATTCAGTTAATTCCCTACTCAGTGTAGGATCAAACACAGCATCTTTGAAGTAGCTATTCCAAATGCTTTAAGTATTCCCCAGTGAGAAAAGATCAGTTCCACTATCAAATCATGTGTACTGTTCGGGCGTCTCTCCTAACGTTTAGGAGAAACAAAATCTGCTCCCTGCAATTTTCATCCATTGCTTCTAGTCTGGTCCCTTGGAGCAACCAGGCAGCATAACTACATTACCTGAATGTTGACAATTGTTCCAAATTTGCTGAAATGTTCATTAAGTTGAGTAATATTGTTTAGTTCTGGTGGTATTTTACGAACTTCCAACTTGGTATTTGTATACTGGTTTTTCTTCAAGAATCCTGGCTTATTCTGGTTATTAGCTTGTCTGAAAAAAAATGGTAATGCTTGGATCTTTTTGATTTTAAAAAGAAGAATGTTAAATACAAAAGCAGAAGGGCAGTACCCATCTCCCATTCTCTGTTGACACCATCAAGCAATTTCCTTCCTACCTATCAGGGCTAATGAGCACAGATACTTGTTTTATATAAACTCACCTTATTCAGATTACAGTTTTCTTAACACTAGATTTCTTTAAATAGCTGGAATTACAAAATGAGATAGGGTGAATCTGTATGAAACAACAACTCACCCTATGGACAAAACCATGTGTGGACTGTTCGTGAAACAATCCACAGTGAGCATGACAGATGAACAGGCTCACCATGAGTTGTTCCTCCCTTCAGTTCTCCAAGTGGTATCCCTTAGGGCACAAGCTGTCTTTTTCCTCCATACCTGCTTCAGTTGTGAACTTTTTCTTTTGCACAATCAGGAGGATCAGATTTTCTTTTTGCCCAAGAAATGTGAGGGAAAGTCCTTTCTATTGTTGGTCTTTTGCAGTTTCCCAAGGGTCACAGCTTTTCAATTTGCTTTTTAGTGTCAGCTGTCAAATGCAGATGGATGAGACAGGATTTTATTGAGGCTAAATTACCAACACTTGACAGCTGTTAAGCTGTCAACTGGAGACCACTGGCAAGGGGAAAAGCAGCAGAGTAGCTGCACCAGAATAGAGTAGTTTTAAGATCTTATCCTTAGTAATGCAATAATCTCAATTTTAATTGTTCAACTGACAGTTCTCAGTGCCCTCTACTTTTTCAAGTCTTCCTAGAAGTTACAGCTAGTCCAAAAAGGAAAGCTCTTAAAAGCACCTTTTTGTAGCTCCTTTCAGAGCTGTTACTTAGGTTTCTTAACAGTTGTCAAAATAGGCAGCTGAGTGAAAAGGTTACAGTAAATGAGGAGCCCCATTTGATCTGTACTATTTTACCATCTCTATTTTTCTTAATAAAAGTGTTCAATTGCTTTTTAATGTTTGTTCAGAAATACACACAGATTTCAAGACTGGAGGAGAAACACATGCAATTTCATGACTGGTAAGTAAAAGGAAGGAAACTTGCATATATATTTACTTTTTTTATAGACCCTTTTGAGGCTTTTTGAGAGCTGTTAGGAAGCCATAGCTGTGAAAAAGAGCCATAAGATTGTCCTCTCTGTACTAGATGGCAACTTAGAGATGTGTTAAAAAGGTGGAGGGCAATGAGAAGTGTCAGCTCAACACAAGACATCAAGATTGTATTGCTAAAGGAGACATCTTAAGCTCATCCCCTTTAGGTGCACTAACTGCTGTGCTGCCCCACTTTTGGTGCTTTCCAGTTGACAGCTAGGAAGTAACAGTTATCATATGATCTTAGGTTTGTCTACATGGAGTTGCCTCATCAATCTATTCCCATTTGGCAGCTGAAATTGACAAAGGCATTGACCAAACCAGACCATATATTGGAAAACCATAAAAACACACTAGTGCAGCTACAAAAGATTGCTTTTTTTAAAAGACAACATTTGAGCAATTTTTTCGGGGAGAGGGAAAGAATCAAGCCAGTCATGGTAGCTCCACAGTGCTTCTTGGGCACTTGTGGAGGGGCTGTCACTGGCTCTCTGTTACTGATAAGTGAGATCATTAAGGGATTTTGCTGTTCTTGCTGAGAAGCTCAGTAGTCCATCCCCAGGGATATCAGGCTGGTTTTTTGGTTAAAACAAACAAACAAACAACAACAACACACAAAAAGCAAGCTAATCTGCTAGAAGCAGACTGGGCTCAAATGATCTGGCAACCCACCATGGCTAATTACTCTAGTTTCTCACTCTTCCTACAGCATTAATAATTTTGAAGTAATTAGTAAACACAGTTTTCTCTACTGAGGCACCTAGGTTGCAAAACTAATTTTTCTCAGTTCTTTTGGCTTCTTTCTTTAAGAAAGCTATTTTAAAAAAAATAATTGACCAATTTTTTTTATATGGGTCAAAGTTTTGTTGCTTTATCTTTATGATGAATTGCTTTTACACAAGCCACCTCAAGTTTATTTTATAAAGAAAAGCAAGGTATAGTTTACTAATTATTTTATATAAGTTACTATGTCAACTTTTCATTATCTTCTAAGAAGTTCCAAGTTTTTAACTTTTCTTTCCATAAGGGTAAATGCTCTATCCTATGACCATTTTAGTTTCTTTTTACACAAACATGCACATCTTATACTTAAATGTATTACAAATTTATTTGACAATATTGGTATGTATAATAGCATTGAAGTTTTGTATAATCATTTTCTTAATAATGTTCAACACAACCTGCCTTTTCAACTCAGTTTATGATTCTGCCCAAGAATTGAAAGGTGAGGAAAAGGCTACAGAAGGGCTAGTTCTTCCTACTTTTCAAAGCCATTGGCTGAATAATATGCCAACCAGAATCTGCATTATGTTCCAGCCATTGCAAACAATATGAAGTGAATTTATTTCTACAGAGTGCTAAATCTGGATGTAAATATATAAGCTATAATCCTTGACCAGGCAGATTCATTGGGTAATTTTGAACCATCTTTTAGGACTTCACGGCATTGTTAAAAGTCCCCATGTCTTGTGACAAAGATCAAATTTATTTAAGCTGCAAAGTAAGGTTTTGAATTACATGAAGATGCAGGAACAGTAGTAGTGCTTACTGCACAGACATGATGGTTATACTGTAAATATTAAGACTAAATGGTGCATGGTCCAATCTATCTCACAAGAGTAGCTTGGAACAAAGTGAGACAAGGGTATACAATAACTTGCTCTGGCCCTCAATGACAGAATGAAAATCAGCCAAATTCACCATATCATGAAAGAAAGACAAAGCACTTGCAACTGAAAATGGATAGCGGAAGAGAAAACATTCAAGCACAAAGTGTCAAATTCCAAGTACTTTAACATTATAAAAACACAATAAGAATTATTGAATATTTCTCATGAAGAAAGTGAAAGTAAAAATTATTTCCAAGCTGAGGAGAACTGATTTTAGTTGCCAATGTTTATTAACATGTAAAACTCTTACTTTGTAATCCAGGGTTTCTTTGGAGATGGCCCTTCTACAGTGTTTGAAAGTCTCTTCCTGTTGTCTGGCTCAAGCACCACTCTGGATACATTACTGCTGTTACTTGCAATGCCTACTGGAGGCTCAGTCTGAATTATAATATTAGCAGCTAGAAAGAAAGCAAAGGTTTGTATACTTGCAATGGACTAGAACTTTATCATTTTTATAAAATGGTGAGTGCTGGGTATGCTTGCCAGGAACTCAGATTCTGGGCTGCTCCAAACAGGACTGGAGTCTGGAAAGCCTAGCCTGAGGAATCCAATAGACTCCTCACACATTCCCAGCACAGAGGTAATTGCAACTCCCTGCAAATAGGGGCCACATACTCATTGGAACCCAACCAGTTATAGCCAAGTACACAGTTATATTGACATTTTCTTGATCCAGCTGTTTGGTCATCAGCCTTCACAGTTTCTATAACCCTCAAAGAGGACTCAAGTATTGGAAGGTAGGTAAATACTGTAGCCAACATTTAGAATGATAGGAACTACAAAAATATTGTATCTTCAACTTCAGTAGGGGCATTCACATAAAGCCTAACTGAGATTGGTTCAAAACAACAAAGCATTGATTTTATTGGACCTTAATACAATTGTCCATAAATCTAGATCATTGCTAGAGATGCAGGGCTTCTAAAACTCATTTTACATATACACAGCACTCGCACATACTGGTGAAAAATTGTAGGTTAATTAACTCAAAATGTGCCATGGTGCATGCTTGAAGGTTCAGCAAGTCTGTTTTGCTTTTGTGCATGGAATGGGCGTGGGTGTCATCTGGATGTTTGCCTCAGGTAGCAAAATGTTTGTTTGGCCCTGGTCCCTTCTGCTTGTAGAAGAGGAAGTCTAAATCCAACTCATTAGTTTTAGAGGCTGGAAATATTATATCATGATAAACACTCTTCAAATTAAAACTGGAGAAGGGGAAGCACTGCACACAGTCCAAGAATGCCAAAGCCTTAGTGTTACCTTACAGTGCAAATAACTAAACCCCTCAAAATTTGGACTTGGGGAAACAATTCTTCACCTCTTGGGTTTGTATCCATATCACCAGAAGTTAGGCCAATAAGATTTGGCCGTTGCATTGGTGTCCTTGAAAAGAACTGGCGATACTGAGATCTGCCTGTACTGGTAATACTAGGAGCTTCTGGATTATAACCATCTGGTTCATACGTATCTAAGTGAAAACAGAAAAATACAGAATAGATTTAGATTTTGATAATAATACAATGTTGTTTAAGTAAACACTATGTATTTAAATCAAGACTACTAATTTATATACCAACTTTCCTTTATATAAAGTGCTCAAGCTGGCTAACACTAAAATGTAAGAAAACAGCAAATTATAATTACAACATCAAAACAAATCAGTTGAACTTGTATTATAAAAGAAATAAATAGCACCAACCAAAACCTATTTCAGCAATCAATTTAAAAGCTCAAAGACTGGCAAGATATACTAAATTGTAAACTGTATTATTTTGATCAATTTTTATTTCCTATTTTGACATTTTCTGTATCATCATATGCTTCATATAGAACACACATCCACCAGTGATCCTGACAGATTTCTTTTCTCTTGCCAATACTAGCAATCGCATGGAAAAGGGCAATTTGTATAACGATTGCAGGGCTGGGGGACAGAACACTTGTGGTGGAGATCTGGCAATGGTGGTGGAATTAAGGCACTCATTTGCAGTAAAGATCTTTGGGCACATAGCCCCCAAATGTTGTGTACTCCAGTGCAGAACATCCAGAATCGAGGTTCAAACAAATTACTTCTAAAGAAAGCCATCATCTGGAAAAAGAGTAGGCTATAAGGGAATCTACCTGACATTATTCATAGAAAATATGAGGATATCATTTTTTTAAGAACTGAGGAAGAAAATGTCAGCGATTTTTTCAAAAATCCAGTTATGTTGGACTAGGGTCTTCATTCAAATGTAGGCAATTTAGATTGATATACATTTACTTCAGATAAAGTACCTAACAGTCAGCATTCATGATCTGATTTAGACCAGTTTGGATGTTATGCTAAGATTGAACTCTTGGCTCTTCTTGCAAGCAGAAGTGGCTAAACAAACCCATAGACCCTCTGTTTGTTGCTTGTCCACTGTGATGTCTGAACAATGATTCTGGTTTCTGTTTTCTAAAAGAAGCCTGTGTCACAGGCCAACAGTAAACAATGATTTAAAACTGAATTGTACAGGGAAGGACAAGCCAGAATTCCTTGTTTGGATATGATAATTGAACCAGAGATGGAGAATCCATAGTTAGCTGTTCCTACTGGCTGGAGCTGAATTACTGACTGAATGCACTACTTTATCCTGGTAAGTCAAGATTCTTCAAAAGTTTGTTTTTTAAATAACAGGAAGTTAGGACACATATCAACTAAAATTCTTTCAGTTTTTGAGAAATTCAGTGAAACATGGATGCCATGGGGCATTTTTAAAAGAATTTTAAAATATATGTCACCCAATTGCTGGAGCTGCATGCCTGAAAGTGAAGCTTAGGATTGGAGGGAAGACTCCAATTGTTATGCACCATTCCTCCACTCTTTCCACTTTTCTAACACCACATATTAGTCCAAAAAATCTTCAGCTGCTAAACCCAACCTCCTGATTCTCATTTCCTATTTAAATACACAATCAGACATGGGTAATATGATGCTAGAAGGCAAAATATGATTGGTGCTTAATTATTTCTATATGTCTATGAAGAATGAGGACATGATACAACTTTGCATAATTTATTCTGAATACCGAAACATGAATTTCTTTGGCACCTGATACTTCTGCTGTGCTCTAGAAAAATTTAATATATGAGTACTGTATCTTGTAATATCTGTGATATATACGATGTCTACTTCAGTGGTCTTATATTCAAGTACATAATTTGATTTAAATCCACGATTCACAACTTTAGTAGTGGTTTAGTAGTGGTTAATCTTTATTCACACCTGTTAACTTACTAGCATAATTCTGGGCACTAAAACTAAGTAATTTTTCCATTGTCTGTTTCAAGCTAACCTTATTTGGTTCAAACTAACCTTATTTTAGACACTGTGAACATTCTATCATTTTATATAAGCAATACATTTATTACACATAATCCACGTCACACCTTCCACCTATGTCTCACATGACAAATATAGGTCCTAATAGGGGTCTGAAAATGTTTCAGGAATCCTTTCATGAATTCATAGAATTGTAGAGTTGGAAGGGGCCATGAAGGCCATTGGGGCCAACTCCCTGCTGCTGTAGGACACCAAGTTACACCAGTTGCTGTAGTACATATTTAATGAAAGACAGGTACACTTGAAACATACGGTAACAACAATGTCATGTGTGAAGTAACTTTAACAAAAGACATCACACCCCGCTATTTCATGTCTGCCACGTGAACAACTTTGTAAAACTGTATTTGCTTACGTTCTGATACTGAATATAGAAGGTTTTGGGGTAGTGGAGGAGGTAGTCTTGCTCCCACTGGTGCAAGGCTGGGCACTGGAGTTGTTCCTGGCTGATCACGGCTGTTGATTAAACTTGACTGGGATAAAGGAGGCCCTAAAATGAAACATAAAGATTTTAAGAAGTCTAGTCAGGTCACTTCTCTCTTTACAACACCCAGAAGGATCACCCTTCCTCTCAGTACCTTCATGTGGAATATTTTATTCTAGTCAAAGTCCTGTTTCAACTTGGCTTCCTTACCTCTATTAATTACTCTGATATCAAATTAATTCACATCTCTTGCTGCTCGCACCATGTAATACACTCTTTAAATATCTACATACATCATAAGTTTCACATTCTTATCCTCAAAGCCTCCCATGACCTTGTTTCCACCTCTATCCCTATATTCATGAATTCAACTTTGCCAGCTTCAGCTGCCCTAAGGTCTTCTACTCTAACGTCTTCCTCTGTCTCTGCTGCTTCTCCTTACAGCTGAACTGCTTTCAAAAACATCTGCCACCTCCCCATTCTAATCCTTCTTCCAACCCACATTTCTGGGAAATCTTTGGCACAACCCGAAGATTCATTTGTAAATGAGTGTAAGATATGGATCAAATAAATGCATACCCTTCTTCTGTGTACCCTTGCCTCTATTTCCCTCCCCTACCTCTGGTGTAGAATAATTTGTTAGTCCCTTGTGGCCAGAATCTGTTCTCTTGAACTTTGTAAAGTGTCATGCTGCATGAATAATATTACTTGCAACATTTTATGTTTTATTTGCAAGTACAACTCTCTGGCTGACGTACATAAAAATTAAAAACCAAAAATGCATCTTTATCTTTACTCCATGGACCTTAAGGCAATGTACATGATTCATCCGTCCCTTGCTCTCATTTTATCCTCAGAGCAGCTCTGTGAGGAAGATTAGACTGTGAAATAGTGGTGACCTTGGGCTAATAACTGAGTTTCATAAAGGAACAGGGATTTATAGCTGGGTCTCTTAGTTCAACACTCACCACAGCACGGCAGCTTACAAATGGCCACAGTAACTAAGATCTGAACCTGCAATTATCAATGTTTGTATAAAGGATCCCCCTCCCCAAAATATTACTTTTAACAAAGCCAGAATGACAGGATAGCACTAATTAGAGTTAAGGTGAATTCCGGGAAAGCAATCCCCTCTCACGCTAGTATAATTTTCTTCAGTATTCAGCCTTAAGATTTCATACCCAAATAATTGTTATCATCCAGGGTTTGTTTCAACCACTTTTGTCACCTCTGCAATCTGATGAAACCAATGAATAACCCATGGTTCCTCATTTATATGTAGCCACCACTCATGGTGTAAACAACCCAGAATTCACAATCTCCAACCAAATCATAGGTTTTTTTTCTGGCTTGTTTTCTGGCTATCATACCATGTTTAGTGTGGTGAAGCTTGGTTATCATGCCATGTTTAGAGTGGGAAAGCTTCTGTGGTTAATCCATAATTTAACAGCTCATACCACAAATTAGGTTTATGTACAAATCCAGCCACAGAGTATGAGAATATGAGCAAACAGGGGATAATGTTGCCCCTCGCCCTACTTTCAACTTATGGTCCAAAGAAAATTTATACAATTTGAGTATGAATTATATCAAGCACAGAAAGGAACAGATTAAATCTCTGGTACAATTCAGAGAATTCTTTTATTTTCTTCAAATATACTTCTGAAAATTCACATTTGATAAGAATACTTGAAGGTATGCCAGCAATGCTAATTAAAGCAAGACAGTCAAACTTCCTATTTGGTTGGAGAAACATTTACCAGCATGGCTTTAAGTCCAATACTGTACCTGGAACCAACTTGGAAATAGTATTCTTTGGTGTCTACTACTTATGTTAGTTTGCACTCCATGTTTCTCAGCAAACCCCCATGGTGAGTTAATATGCTTTGTCTATTACTTCAGCGGCTTCTAGTTGTACTGTTTCAATGAAGGATGTTATGAATTTGCAGGGTTGCATTTTTACTTACAAAATAAACTGGTAAGAGTTTTGCTTTTACTTAATATTCTGCTATATTAACATCCCATCGAAATTGATTTTTGCATAAACTTTTAAAAAAATAGTATCACTTTTTCCAATGATCTAAAAGAGGAACAGTCAGTGGTTGGTCATAGAGGCTTCTTTCTCCACTGCTCATATGGTAACTGCATGGTGCTTCACTTCCATAATTATCTGCCCCAGGGTGCCTTCCTAACAACCACAGAATCCTAGAACAAGCTAGGATTTGCCTGGTTGGATTATATGACAGCTTGTGCTAGGCGATTATGGAAATGAGATAGTATATGAACAGCACATGTAAGGCAGGAAAAGGAAGCCATCCTTTTTTTAAAATTTCTCAATCATGCAAAGTGAATCAATGCCAGGATTTTTAAAAATTTACCCTTTTAATTGTAGAAGTATGCCAAGTCCAAAAATCTCATAATTCTTTTGCTAGTTTTCCCTCCTGTCCATTTAGAATATATTTACTTGCTATTTAATACAGCTTAATAATAAGCAGATAAATATGTAGCAAAAGGAGTGAAGATATTTAAAAAGGATCTCAGCAGGCTGATTTTTTCATATTTAAGGAAAAGGTTTGAATTAATCATGTGTCCCTCTTATTCCTCCTTCAACTGCATTGTACTTTTCATATGATTATCTATTTCTGCTTTCTACTGTGTGAAATGATCCAAAGCACTTTAGTGGGAAGCTCTGTTCTATCTTTTTAGCACAGTCTCACAGCCACCTTTCTTTTGCTTTTAATAGCTCTCACAACACTTTTGTCCACAGAGAATTCATGTTTATCAAATAAATATCCAGTGGTCACAACCTCAGTGAGAGTGCACATGAACTCCTCAACTCATTCATTTCCAGACCAAGAAGAGGAAGAGAATCAAAGCTAGTCTGCTTCAAAGTACAGCTGAATTCTTCTTTCACCCAGTTTTACATGATAGCTAAATGAAACCTTCATGTATCATCATGCCTCTAAATACCAGTTGCAGCAGGAGGGAACAATAGGCAACACTGCTGTCTCCATTCTATTTGTATGTTTTCTAGAAGCATCTGGCTTGTCATTGTTGGAAATGGAATTTCAGTTCTTAAGTTTTTCATTATTTATTTGCTACAATGAGTCCCTTTATTTATAACCCTGTATATCTACTTCCAAATATGGCATTTTGCTTATCTAGCTATCCATCAAGCTGATCTTGCACTTTGTCTCCACCCCTCAAAACAGTATTAAGAGCTAAATTCAGTTTCACTCAACTACTTAATGTAATAAAATGTTCCCACAAGAAAGAAAAAATAAAAAAGAGTGGGGAGCTCCTAAGAACATAACTGAAACCCAACTACACCAGGCAGGGAAAGTCTGGGAGGCAGGGCAGTTCATCTACCTGGAGAGAATCAATGCTACTGGCCCTACTTGCTGACCAGAGGGAGGGAATAAGCTGAAAGCATGGACTGCCCTCTAGAAAGTATAAAGGCAGGTGTCTACTTTTCCACTAGTTATTTTAATGTAGACAATTCCCTCTACATTTTTTTTATAAAGTAAAACGTTTTGTAGAGTAAAAAGAGGAAGATATTAGACTAAAATCCCAAGGATGACTATCAGGTAGGGCAATCAAAAACAAGCTCCAAGAGTCACTGTGCAACAAAATAGTAACAGAGAACGCTCTGACAGTATACTGAATATGCACAAAACAACCATACCTACCTTGACAACTAAGTATCCATGAAAGGTATGAGAATTACCATTGAAGCACAGCTAGAGTATCTTCACCCTCCACCAACTGTGACCTATTGTACAATCCTCATTTTTGCCTAATGTTTGTCCAACTGGACATCTTTCTCAAAGACGTGAAATTACAATGCTGTAAACTTAGATGGAATGGTCATCCTACTTCAGGTTCCTATTTTACATTTTTCGTTTAGCCATAGTCTCTAGCCTTCCCTTTTGCTCTAGTCTACAATATAACTATCTATTTCTTGTCGGCCTTTTTTTTGCCCCTTCCACTACTTGAAAAAACTTTCAGTCATTCAGAAACTCCACCCAAACCTAAACTAATACTACTTGGGGGGGATTCACATTTATTACTAAAAAGGATTTGTTTAAAAATGTATGCTCAACACCCAGTTTGACAGCCTTGGAAAGATTTTCTCAAATCCAAATCATATTCATTTTGAGTAACACAAAAAAAGCAACAAGCTCAAAGTTGTTTCCTCATATGTCAACTATACAGCCTGAATACTTGTTCACAGAAAGCTTCACTGCTGTAATAGTAATAGATGTTTAGGTAGCAATCTTGGACAATTATATGCAATAGCAATCATTTTTCTGGCTTCTTCTAATATTACAATATAGGGGAAAAAACTCCAGAACTCCTTCAGTGTGTCTTGTTTTGGTTACTATGGTTATATATTCAGGCAACCAGAGTACTTTAGTGCTATTTATACAGAAATCTTACTTGGTATAGGAATTCTAACAGGTGGTGGTGGTCGAGGATGTACTTGAGGGCCTGGCATTCTCATGTTGTGAGCTGGGCCTCGTGTAGGGGGCATTAGCATTCCAGGAGGAGGAAGTCCTGGAGGTGGTGGAGGAAAAGGAATCATACTTGGCAAAGATACTTCATCAACAACTAGTGGGTCATTTCCATGATCAAACTGACAGAGGTCACCAAGTACACAAAACCCTCGTTCTGGAAGAAAAACAAAAGAGCAAACTAAACAAAAGCAAGGAAAATCACATCAATATGTCATCTGTAATAATGGTAAACAGTGTGCACACTTTTTGGGTTGAGTGTCTTCAACAGATTAAAAAGAAGTTTTGGGGGCAGGCAAAAAATATATGTACCAAATTAATTATAGAATAGAGCATAAAAATCAACACTGACACACATGTTTTCCTTGCAGACTGCTACTAACTCCTACACACATCCAATCTTGTGCAACTGGTACTGCAATGTGCAACAGCACCACACTGTTCGGATATTTTCCATACTATTTTAGACTGGAACAGATATTGGCATTATGTTAGCTTGGGCTGAACAGAATGCCTTTTCAAAAATATTTTCTTTACAAATGCATAACTGCTATAAAAAAGTAAGGAGACTTATGAGAAGGAAAAGATTGAAAGAATCCTGTCTGTCCAACAACAATGCATAAGATTGTTGTGTATTTTAACCTTTGCCCTCCCCCAAAATTACCTTAGACACAATTATGTTTGATATAAACACCAGTCAAATATTTGTTACATTTGTGTGTACAACTTATGAACATATATGATTCAGTCCACCAAGCAAGACTGACATTTAAATGTTGGCATCATTGGCACCTGCCAAGTCCTATATGCCTAGAAGGGACTACTGTTTAACTACAGAGCTTCCTAGCCCTGGTGGTCTCCCTCTTTAACTGTTGCTTTCTTTCACTTGCCCTCCTCAACTATGACAAGAAAACTGAAATGGAAAAGCATCCTTCATTTGCCTTGTACTCTTCCTTTGAGTGACTGATTAGTATGAACACTGAGGAAGGCAGCAAGTAGGACTGATGAATATCCAGGCCCGCTGAAGGCATCTTGCTCAAAAACTCCCCAAACTTTCAGTCATCATATGGTTGGATGAAAAATTTAAATTAAGACCCACATGTTCAGCAACCCACATACAAAACTAAGTAAAACAAGGACCAGTGAAATCTATGTATGATCTATATGATGAAAGTTCATTAATAATTTGTATCTAGCGATACAAAAGTAATTGTAATAAGCAATTAGGAAAGAAAAAACACCTAAGCAGAGCAAGCAGAGGCAAGACTTACCATCATAATCTCGACAACGTTGTTTTGGTGGGGCACTCCTGACAAATGAATTAGGAACAGAATGATTACTGTAGTAATTTGACCAGCTTTCTGTTGTGTTTTCAGGATGGTGAGCAGGTGCAATCACAGTAACAGCACTGGGAATACACTGTGCTCCAGAGGAATACTGCTCAGTAGAATTAACGGAAGACAAAGACACTGGATTATATGAGCTCTCCATGTCACTCCTTTCACACTTGAATTTGGCTCGCTCTCTGTGCTCTATTTGAAAAAAAAAACACAAATCCAAATAAATAAGGTAAGTTTCTATGCTTTCCCTCAGCAATTTGAGATTCTTTGACAACATATAGAACATTTAGCACTAACAGAAATTTATGTTTGCTCTGTTAGAGAAGTCTAAGCACTACCTTGTTAACTTTGAGGCAATATCCAGACAGTATATGCAGGCTCATTCTTCTTACAGAATATGAATATTGCTCTTGCAGTGCTCATGCTAGCTAATTAATAAGAAAAGCTATCCTTTTTCAAGTTATTCAATTACCATTTTTCCCCTAAAAAGGCATCTCTCTTATTTAATGTTGATAAGATTCTTTAAAAAGAAAATAAATTGCATCCAGCATGTCCTTCCTTCTGAAAGAAACACAGCAGCTTAAAGATGACTCTATCAACAGTATTCTCAGTACCAACAGAAGGAAATGATCTATCGGAATACACTCGAGAACAAATTAAAATAATTCCCTTGATCAGAATACTCTACAAAACAAGACTCTTAGACTGCTTTAATACAGCCAGCAATCACTACTTTTCTAAGCCATTTTCACTGGTTTGCTACATTTGTCAGAAATCTATGCAAAAATGCTCATAATGAGCATGTTTTATCATCTGCTTTCACAAACTAGGAAAAAACCATTATTTGGCTATAATATTTGGCAACTTACCAACATTTCTATTTGCATCCCTATCTTTGTTTGCATCTTGGTCTTTGCTTCTACCTCTGCTGCGGCTACGACTCCGGCTTAGCCCTCTGCTTTTACTACGACTTTTACTTCTTCCCCTTCGCCAGTCATATTTGTCTCTGTACACATCGTTCCGGTCATAGTATCTATCATAGTCTCTCCATTTGCCATCATCTCTTTTTCTTTCTCTAGTTCTATGTAAAAAATACAGACCACATATACATGAGGACTTCAATAATAAAAATCATTAAATGCTTGTATCATTTAAACATAACCAGCAGGCTTTGACAGTAGGCAACTCGTGTGAAACACCAAGCCATATTTTTATACAGCAAATATAATTACTATTTACTATAAATGAGGACAATATAGGAAGTAGAGAAAGACCTAGGGCAGGGGGAATACATGTATTTAATTATTGAAGAATACTAACCTTTGTTCATTAGAATCTGAACGCGTCTTCAGTGGGCTAGTATATTTTTTCTTTTTGCCCTCTCGCTCTTCCTCAAAAGTTTCCTGAAATGTCTAAAGACAGATGGCAAATCATTACATCATACCACTCGCAAGAAAACAGATATACAAAAGAAACTAAAAGCTAAGTCAAGCAAGAAGAGAGGAAAGTTTGAGAAAATTACTACAGCAGACATTTAAACTAGCCTGTGAAAAACTGCTACCAAATGTTGATTTTATTCTTATGTATAATTGGCAAACTGTTACCTGTAAGGCATATGAAAGCCAACAAAAAGGTAAACAAACATGGGGCACTTATGCTTTGTTGAAGCATTTGTTTAATTTATGATGGGATACTGCTTCAATTCTAGAGACTACCAAGAGAAATGCAGCAAGAGGATCTTGCATCTTTCTTACCCTTTAGCTTTTCATGCTCACATTTAAAAGCTACATTCTACAATTAAGAAATTGCTCTGTTCCGGCGAACACAGATCTACTGTATTGACCTGAGTATCATTTTAGATTGTATCTGTGTGCCTCTACAAACCCATGGTGGGGCATATTTGGTACATTAAAGCAGGGGTAGGCAACCCGGGCACTTTTCTTGGCACCCACCAATGTGTTCTACACTTCCCACTTTTTTTAATTCAAAAAAATTCTTACCAGCATCTGGGATTGCTTCAAAGCAAAGTGAGGGCCTCCAGTCATTGTCATCTTCATTCCCCACAAATGCCTCTGGGCCACACATGCGCTCCCACATATAGGAAATGAAGATGGAGGGTGGCTGCAGGGTGATCCTTTCCTCTGCAAGCGCGTCCAACCATCAAGAAAAAGAAGGGGGGGAAGGAAAATGGATTCCTATCACTTCTGTCTGGTAAGTTGAGGGGCTAAAAAGAACCGGGGGGGGGGGGGCAAGGAAGAGCAGTAGTAAGCTAGCTTTCAGGGGAACAGGGTAGTCAGTGGTGAAAGGGAGTAACAGGAAGCCAGCGGGAGCTGGGGAAGCAAGCTGAAAGCAAGTTGGAGAGGTGGTTGTGTGCTAGCAGATCTGAACGGAGGGTGTCTCAATGTATTCATAAGAGAGAGAGTGAGAAGAGCTTGGGGAGGGTTGGAGAGATCTTGAAAAAGTGTGCTGGGTGAATGGATGGAATTGGGGTGCATGAGAAGCAGCTGCATGTGTATGAGAGGTGTGTGAATAATAATAGAAAGTGTGTGCGAGAAAGTACATGTTTATCAGTGGGGAACTGGGATAAGAGGAAGCGAATGAATTTATGGGCAGTGATGGAAATGGGGCAGGAAGTAACAGGTGGGGTGGGGTGGGGTGGGGTGGGGTAAGAGTTTGCCTTCAGAAACAGATTTCTGTTGGTGCTGAAAATGGCTGATCCAAAGGAGTTGTTTGCCCAAAAAGGTTGCCTACCCCTTTATTAAAGATACAGGACTGTTACAGCTGCATGAGTCCTATGCTTCTTTTGTTCCAACACTGCTGGACCTCTTATAGGGATCTATTTCATATTGCAAATCAAGGTTAACTGATTTAAAATTAATGATGAATTCTAATCTGGAAACCGTACATAGCCAAGCAAAAGACATCAGACACAGTGCTCCAACTTCTAGTACGAACATTTCTGTTAAAAAGGTATCTGTGTGCATTATTTGCTCTCAAAAAAGAAAGAGCTGCAGTTTCTGAACAATCACTGAGAACAGGTCTTCACAAAACATGCAGTAAACTAGTTTCTATATCACAAAGCCATTAACTTTCTTTACATAATACAATTCAAATTTCCCTGACATTTCTGTGGAAGAAGGAAAGCAAGAGTGTAAAAGTCACCAATCGGTCTATAAAGAGACCACAATTCTGATTTAAACATCCTTGAAATATTCCACAATTAATTATCTGATTATAAGTATATGATAGTAAAGAAGAGAATTTGGAAGTAGGCATAAAAATTACTTCTAATTCATGACAAATGCACACGAGAGTGGGTGCGGCAGGACCGTGTAGTGCAAGGATATCATCTCTCATCTGACCTTATCTAAGTATAGCAATGTGCTTTACTGTAATATGTTTACCACTTAAATCAGGCCAGGCTGACTGAGCTAAAAACATGTTAAAGAACACTAATTTATTTTCACCTCTACACATGACTCCTTAACAAAACAGCAACCATGCACTACATAATTTTAGAACAGTAGACTCTGGCCTGATACTCAAGATATTAAATTAGAATAAGAAAACAGGCACAGTGAGTAAGTCTCTACATGGGCAATGCAGAATCACAGGTCTAGAGACAAAGTCTGTCCCTACAGTCTCCAAAAGACTTGACTTTTTCCTGAAACCATCAATTGCTGGGGTTTTTTTTTTTGCAGGGAGGGGAGGCTTTTGTGCATTTTCCCAATTCTACAGCTGAAAGTCTTCTTTAGCTCCTGGAAGTAAGAGTGTTAAGATAAAATATGCTGTATTTTGGACTTTTTAGATCCACCATTTTTAGTTTCTGCCTGGCTCACCACTGGAATGTATCCCTTCAGGGTGTCTTCAAAATAAAATTTGGCCTTCAAGCTGAAAGAAATTCAGCACTTCTGCTTGTGGGACTGAACATCCTCTAGAATAAATGTCTCACTAAATTTGACACATGCCGGTCAACTTGTAGGTTTCTGCTTTATCTTCAGCACAATAAGTATTTCTTTCACTGATTCAGCATAACATGGCAAGCAATGAAAGAACCATCATGAAAGCAGATATGGTTCTATAAGTTTCATAAAATACTTATACTTAGGTGGTACATTTTTTCAGTTTCTGATTATAATGTAACCTTTTCATAACCAAACTCTAGATGAAATTAACAGAACAAGGTCACAATTTTAGCTCCAGATTGATATCAGTGCTGGAAGTCAAACTTGTAGAAGATAGATAACAAAATGAGTGTATACCTTAAAGCAGTGTTCCTCAACCTAGTGGCCTTCAGAGGCATTTGGGCTGCAACTCCCAGAATTACCATCCAACAAGGCCACTGGCTGGGAATTCTGAGTGTTGAGGTCCAAATGTGTCTGGAAGGTACAAGGTTGGGGAAGGCTGCCTTAAGGTATAATCCAGGAAAGGCCACTTTCTGGGGGTACGGAGGCCACATATCTATGTACTACATGAGCTGCTGAAATCTGAAAGAAAAGTGGTAGTGGCAAACAGCAACCTCACTTTAAAACAAGATGCATGGGGAACAAATGCCTTATTTTAAAAGAGTTCACAGGGTTTTTGCCACTACATTTCAGAAACACACTGAGTGGTGGATGCTGCCAAAAAGACTGGAGGGACCTCATATGGCCCATGTGCTGCCCTCTGCTAATGTGGATCCTTGTGAAACAGCTATGTATTCAAACTTCCTGCAAAAGCAAAATATTGTAAAAGGGCAGGTAACTAGCTTCAGGATCAAATGTTAAGTGGGCTTTTTCCTGTTCTGGAGTAGGTTCACTCTATCTAGATCAGGTTCATAGTCTGGGAGTACTCATTAATCCTTGTCATTAGGGATATAAGTAGCTACTGTACTTTTTACAATCCTATGCTGTGATACTCCCAGAACAACTCTACTTAGAAAGGGATAGAAAGGGAATCATGTGCCCATGTTCTGGTGACCTGTTTGGATTATTGCAATGTGTTATATGAGGGGTTATTTTTGAAAATGGTCCAGAAAATCCAGTCCAGAGTATGGCTGTGATACTGCTTAACTGAAACTGACCCATACAAACTCATTACACTGTCATCATTACTGGTTTCTAGTCTGCTTCCAGGCCCAATTCATAGTGCTAGGCTCAAAGTCCCTTCAGACTAGGGCCATGGCTTCTGAAGGACTGTCTCTTCTCATATGCTATTTATCTTATATACTTTAAAATAATTTCAGATTTTGACCAGGTGAGATGCGACAGCTGCCCATTAGTACCCCTCACCCAGAAAGGCCTCCTCAACAGCCACATTGCCTTTCCAGAGCCAAGTGAAGACCATTGTATTTCCCTTTAAGATATTTTAAATGTTTAACTACATTTCAGCCCTATTGTTTTATTCAGCTACTTGCATTTTAGGCTGCATTAATTTTACTGTTGCTTTTTCTTCTACTGTCAATGATTTTCCCACTTGCTTTATTTTTTCCATAGATAATCCAAATTTACCAAGCTATTAATCATCTGAGAGAGAAACATTGCTACAGTTTAAATGGAGAGAGTTGTCATACTGGTAGCTGCCATAGCTCTTTAGATGGACATACATAGTAACAAACCTGCACTACAAAAGACATTGTAAATTGCCACCTACAAAGAAAACCATCCACCCTAACCAGTTTACTGGATTTCTTTGATTATTAAAGAAAATCGTTGTACTTGTTTAAAATTCCTTGGCAACTTTATTCTATTTTACTTTATTTTACACAAACCTTCATCTTTTTGTATTTATGTTAAGAAAATAAAAGATAAAAATGGCTGTACATAATACATTTAATATAGGCTCCAACCTTATATTTGCAATACAAAATATATAATGCAATATAACTTATAATTGTACCCAGAAGTAAGCCTCAGTGAACAGAGTGGGACTTCTGAATAAACACGTGAGAGTGTTCTGGGTTGTAAGAAAACATGGTGAGAAATATAATATTACCTCCTCTTTGATTTCTTCTTTTCCCTGGCCTGCAGGCTTCAACTCTGGTTTTGCTGGTTCATTGGGAGCAAGGTAATCCTTGGTATACAGGCTCTCAAAGAGTTTGTCAACAAAACCTGATGTTTCTGACAGAGACATACAAGAAAAAAAATCAGTCCATAATGGAATCTACTCCTACTTTGGTATTAAAGATAGTTTGGTTTGCCTCAAAAAACTTTGGATTTATTTTTGAATTAACAGAAATTTCCTCATACCACACTGCAAGCTTCTTTTGAAACTGTAGTCTGTTTGAAAGCAATTTCTGTATGACATGGATATCTGCTCTTTGAAGGATGAAAGCACAACATTCCATACCTTTTCTGTTGTGTTGCTTTGAGCATGCCTAAATAAGTTCTTTGAATCTTACCTGCATGACAAAGATTGTGGGAATGCTCTTTTTGAGTTGGTAGAATATATGTCTTACACAGGACTGCAAAGTAAATTTCAAAATCATAGTGTACTGTAAAAAGTACAGTGTCGTAACAAATCTCCATCTACCTCTGCAGAGTGGGAGGCTTGCCTCTGTGTCTGATAGCTCAGGGCATAGAACACCTGCCAAGCATAAAGCAACTCAACATTCCCCTACCTTCACGCTTCAGTTCAGAATTGAGGATGAGAAGCTGAGGCACACTGCCTTGTTCTGCCCTGACTTTTTGATTTTTAATGACAGTCAGTTGTAGAGTAAGCTGATGTCCATTTGCCCATCTTGTATTCTGTAAAGCTCCCAGAGAGCCCTATGGGCTATGGGGAAGTATGTAAGTGCAAATAAATAAATAAAAATGTGCCTGCAGCTCTGTAAAGCGGAACTGGGGGTTTTCCATTTACTTGACAGGTACTAGTGCCCAGCCAGGGCAAAACAAGCCTCCTCTTGCTTGCCGTTCTCAGCATTAGGCATGCAGGCGGTTGGGTTGTTTTGACATTGGACACAGTCCCCCCCACTCCCTTGAGGACTGTGACCTTGTACTGCATTTCTAGGGTACCAAGGTTCCTTAAGAGTTCCAATATTTAGTAGAACACCAAGAACAATCATAGAATAATAGAGTTGAAAGGGGCCATGAAGGCCATCAGGTCCAACCCCCTGCTGTTGTAGGACACCAAATTATATATTTTTTAATGTTGTCCTTAAGCCCTTTAAACATAAAGGGTTAAATCTGACATCACACTAACAAGAGTCGCTAGTATAATATGATGTTCCCCCTTCTCCATCTTCCACTCCGAAGAAACTTTCTGGAGCAGATTTTTTGGGCAAAGTAAATTTTGAGGAAGTGGTAGTGGGTGGATGGAGAGGAAATCACAGCCCTCTCAGCTACCCTAACAGAAGCAGTTTCATCTTGTGATAAATTTTACTTAATTGCGGGGATAATTCTTAATGAGGTGACTCTCAGGTAATTACAAGGCTATTCTGAATTTGCTTGCTCAGAAGTTCCATTAAGTTCCACAGGGCTAATTCCCAAGGAATAGTCTAAATACTGGATTTTAGTGCTCCAGGAATTAAATTGGAAAATACTCTGAAAAAAAATATAAATGGCAAGCTGGCTCAGATAAACAGTAAAGCACAGTTTAGTATTACGGGAATAAACTTAACTTCTTTTTGGACTTGCCTGCTCCCCACTTTGCATGGCTGTAAGAAATGGAAGTTTCTTTGTTTTTACTAATTACAGTAAAGATCAAGCAAGTTTAGGTTCCAGACAACACACTAAACTATGGTTAAATTTAAACACAAGGCCCCAAGCTCTTCCTTGTGGACACATTGCAGGAGGAAGAAACAGAATGTTTGAGTCCAGAGGGCATACTAAGCTAATTCTTGTAATATTAAAGTGCAATGGTTAAACTATGGTTTAATGTTACATATAAATGCAGCTAGTATTTTATAATTCAAATTCTAGCACTTTAAATTATTTTTCTATGTTACAGCTGTCAAAATGTACTGCTTCTCCTGAGAGATTAGCTAATTTATGCTATAATATGCTAATTCTGCTATAATATCTTGAGCTTTTTTTGAAGAAACAATTGCTACCATAAATTAACAGGAATATCTATCTTTAGGCAACTTAAAGATGACTTTTCCCTGTGACTGTGCTTAGAACTCAAAATATTTGCTGTGAACAAAAAACTATTTTACACCGTATACAAGGCATAAGCTAAGTCTCCATATAAAGTACAGTATCTTTTGTAGAAAAGGACAAGCATTTATATACCAGCCATGGTAAAATTCATTTGCCTGCCTATCTTCTTAATCTAAAGGATCAGCCTTCCCCAAGTTGGTACTCTCTGTACGTACTGGACGACAGCACTATTGTCTAATATGTATGAAGAACAAAAGCTGGAGGAAGCTTATAAAGGCTCTTATCAACATAATCCTTCAATTTGTCATTAACACACAGATCATACCTTTTTGTAGAAAAACATCCAGCTGATCAGCACAGAAAGCCTTCAGTTCTTTCTCTGGTTTGTCTTTCTTGACCAATGCCACAACATAGTTTGCCAAGGCTGATGGATCAGCATCACATCTGGGGATAAATTACTTTTATCAATTATGTACCATATACTTCCACAACATTAACTCACAATAAAGAGTTACAATGGTTTTATCAGTGAAGGCACAACCATTCATACCCCCAGTTCCTAAACATTTAAAAGATATTTTTAGGGGCATCCCCAAACACAATTCAGTGGGAAATACTAGCAAGGATGTACTTTCAACTTTGCAGTTTTAAAAAGTCTATAATGTAATGGTACTGAGTTGTCTTTAATTCAAAGGCAGATACAATCTCTATTCATTATTTTATTTCAGTATTATTTCTGACTAATATTAAATATAAAAATAGAAATTACAGTGAATGAACTCTACAAAAACAATGAAGCAAGCAAAAATGTTACTACCTGGTATTATCTGACACATTCTAGTGAAATTCTACATGCATCAGGACTAACTCAAAATTGCTAAGGCTAGACATCCTCTATTAAAAATAGCTTAGTGACATGTGATAAAATAATGCTGGCTAATTCAGATCAAGATGCAAACTTCAGCCCCTCCATGCCTACTTCTTAATTCTTGCTGTATTCTTAGTCACAATGTCACAAAGATACAGGTGCGAGTTGAAGCCACAACTAATAGAATTTCATTGTCAATTCTAGTTTCTTGATCTAGCATTAGACCCCCTTTGCTTTCTTAACCCTTCTTTATTCACATTATTTTGTCACCATTTCTCTTAGGCGCTTGCTTTCAGACCACTGTCTGTTTTCCCTCATTTTTTTCAGCAACCCTATCTCTTGATCAGCCCCTGCTATCTCCTCCTCACTCCTCCTCAGTTGCCATAAGGTTCCCTCAGAACCTATCTTCTAGTTAGTTTCTCTGTCCCTTTCTTCTGTTCACTGTCACTCCACAGTTTCTTCAGTATTCTAGCCACTGGAATTCCTTTATCTTCCTTACCTCTCCCTATTCCTCAAACTACTCCCTCTATGAGTTTTTAATCCGAGTCAAAATTGAAAACTTTCCCTATCCATCCTGTGCACTGACTACACATGGCTGGGTAATTCCATGAACAACTGGGCATAGGCTGAATTGGTGCAACAGTGAAGTAAGCCACCACCAAAGGTTTTATGCATCTCAACCACACTTCTATATGTCTGGCACTTTAGAAGAAAAGAGATTGTCCTTGTCTATGGTCTTTTAAATTTCATTTGAATAAACTACATGCTCTGATTAAACATGATCAGAACATAAACAAAAATACAGAATTCCAAATGGCAAAATAATTTACACAAATTGTATTCTCTCTAGCCCCACGTTTTGTCTGCTGACATATATCACATTTCGTGGACATTAACATCAACATTTATGCCAATGTAGCATAGTGGTTAGAGTGTTCACCTGGGACCTGGAAGATCCAGGTTCTAGCTCCCACTTGACTACAAAGCTCACTAGGTGACTTTGGGCCAGTTTCTCACTCTTGCCCTAACCTACCTCACAGGGTTGCTGTTGTTAACTTAAAATGGAAAGGAGGAGAACCTTGTACACTTGGATTCCTTACAAAGGAAGAAAGGCAGGGTATAAATGTAATTATAGTTATTTAGAAGCCTTGGTAACCAGGTCCTAAGGATTTGTCCAACAAGAATATTAGGCATTTGCTAGCACATTCAGACCCATATCTATTTCCTGAACAACTTTTTTTTTTTTTTAAAGTTAAAAATTCAAGAGTTTGAAAAAGAAGCAGTTTCTATTAGGTTAAATTTTGTCACCTCAACACAATAGTAAATGTTTTACATATTAGTGTGATGGTTTCTCTCAGCAACAACTCTCAAGCACTAAAGTTACTTCCTCAAATCTAAATCCTAACAAAAGATAACAAATAGCTTACCCATCCATTACAAAAAGTTACCTCCGAAAATTCCTAAGAAACCCTTCTCAGCTGAAAATAATTCAAGATAAATCAGAAACACACTGACTAGGACAGACTTCTCCAGCATGGTGAGCTCCAGATGTTTTGTACTTCAGCTCTCATCAGTCCCAGTCATTATGCCCTATGGTAAGAAATGCTGGAAGTTGTGGTCCAAAACATGTGAAGGGCACTGGATTGGAGAAGGCTGCCCTAAGAATTTTGCATTAACAGGCCTTACTTCCAAGTAAACATAATTAGGATTGCACAAAAGGGCAAAGTGTTATCCTTAATTCATGTTTTTAAAACATTTATCTTCAATTGGTAACTACAACCTTATTAAGGTGTGTTACATCTTTGTTGAGATAACCACCTACAGGATGAAGAGAAATGGTAGTGGGACTTAGAAGAGGCCAGTTTTCTAGCAGGGAGGTATACCAAATATGATAATAATACCTCCCCCTAAAAAAGAATTTCTGGCATATTAAAATTATAGAAGAGATGGATGTGAAACAGCTCAGCTGTGGTTTGTAGGCAAAATGTCTCGGGTTTAATCCCTCACATTTCCCATTAAAAGACCTTCAGTTAACAGGTCTGGATAAAACCCCTGACAAGGCCTTAAAGAATCACTGCAGACTTAGTATGGTGAGGAGATGGACTAATGATCTGGCTCAACATAAGGCAGATTTATATGCTCAAGATACACAGAACAGGAAACAATTTGTAGATGAGTTTTTGTATACACACGTTAAAATAAAGTGTTTTTTTTAAAGAAACAAAACACACTTGTAGCTCCAGTTCTGAAGCCAAGGCTGAAAAAACAGACTTAAATATTGAGATGCCTTTCTTAATATGTGCATAATGGTCAAAACCAGATTTGGGAATTGTCCCCAAGTACAACTAAAAATGCAAGTGAAAGTCAAACAACTATCACCACTAGACCTCTATGCTACTGAATGAACTAACCACCATGGTTTGTCCTGAAGTAAACTATGCACAAATACATATAAAGGTCTTTAGCCATAATTATGTATTATTTGTGAAACAAATGACAAAATATTTTGATGAATTTTGGAGTGAAATTTCCCATTCTAATACGTATACACTACCTTACTGTTAGTAATAAATTATAATTCTGTGCTAAGAAATGATTACTGAAGCCAAAAAATACACAGAAGAATGAAATGTCTTCACCTAACTGTGTCTACATTTGTAAATTAATCCCTCAGAACCCTATATGGAAAAGAAGTTAATATCAAGACCACTAATGAGTGAGAACTTCTGACTGCCTATTTACATGACAGTACAGTTCAAGATTACTTTTACCTCAGCAAAACTTTCTTATTTTGGCATGTTCAAGAATGTAAGGGTGCTGACTAATTCATTATTCAGTACGCTAAACTCAAAACAATGCATTTGGGATATCAAACTCATCTAGCAGATGTTCCAAATTTTAGTGCAGAATATTTCACAGAGATAATTAATAGCTTAAAGGCAAAAATTTAGGAGCTCAGAGGATTTTAGGACCTTGCCTCGAATCTCTGCCCACTTTTAAGTCTAAAGTAGTGATGTATGCTTGAAAATATTGTCAGCTGGAGAGAAACATCGGGCAGTGATTTCCAGTTATAAGTATATATACACTAGTGCAATTACATAACACAAATTATTCAAGAAATATTTCCCTCCACCAAAACTACTGAAATAGAAATGAAAACAGAGAGCACAGGATATATTTTAAATAATCCAAAAAGGGTTATGCTGAAGCAGTAAGTTCTGTTAAACTCAATGTGACTTAATTTCAATCAAACATGCTTAGAATTGCACTGTAAGAAGTACTATCTTATACATTGTAAGAACAATTGATTGTTAAAACAGGGTATTTGCCATGTCCAGTGAAATAAAAGAATATGCCAGAATGAAGGGGTTTCAGGGATGCACTCCAATATTTTGTAGAGGCTCATCTAGGTTATAGGCAGGCGGACTACATAAAATGTGACATCTCAAAAACCTGGTGCCAGCTGTGCCAGGACCCTCAAGTTTGGAACTGAAAAAATACATGCCTAAACAGTTGTCAGTAACACAACACCATTTCAGAATGTGGTGAATGAGCACAGAAAATGAAAGCATCTTCAAGTACTAAATGCATCCAGACAGACATTGATTTTTTTTTTTTCACGCAGCAGCTTTGCAGCGTAGTTTTCTGTCAAATGGTACACTAGAGTAGTTACGTGCTCTTACACAATTAGTCACTAGACAGTTTTACAGTACTCAAGAAAGCACAAAACAAGAAAGAGAGACAGCCTCCATTAGTAAATAGAACTGCAACCCGGTAAAGCTCGAAGCACCTCCACACCGACTCGCTCCGTCTCCGCTTCCTCACGTGCCTTCTTCCTTCCTCAAAGACCTGTTATTCTTCCTTAGTAGTTACCAAGACGCATTCCTAGGAGTCTGCAGAGTTGTCCCCCACACACCCTCCCGAAACACCTCCTCAACAACAGCCGCCTCTCCCCTCACGGCACCGCACCACGCCCGCACCTGTGCCCGAGCGGCCCCAGCCCCCTTCGCTCCCCCCACTTGCGTCCCACAGCCCCGTCCACAAGGGCCCCCTCCCCCAACCCGACCCTTCGTCGGGTCATCCCGCCGCCCTCCGTCAGAGCCTCACCGCTCCGTTTCCTCCTCACACACGGCAAGGCCGCCCCCCGCCCGCGCTCCCTCGCTCCCCTGCCCCCAGAACCGACCCCGCACTCACATCGGCTCCAGTAACTTGGCCAGCCAGGACTTGAGCGCGTCCACGTTCTCTATGATCATGGTGGTGGTGACGGAGCTGCAGCAGCTACACTCGGGGCAACATGGCCCTACGGCGCCCGTTCCGCGTCTCTCCCCCCCCGAGCGGTTACTCACCAGCAGCAGCAACTCCCGCCCCTCCCCCCGCTCGCCAAGCTAGGGCCTACTCTTAGACCAGGAACTACCTAACCGAGAGCGCAACCGAACTTGCTGGTTGCCGGAGAAGGGCGGGCACCCGGTCTTACCGCGGAGCCAATCGCGCCATGGGACCCGGAGGAAAGCAATCCAATCCAATTCTGTTGGGCGTGGAAGGTGGGGGGTCACTGGTGAAAGGCCTTAGCAAGTTCGGTCGAGTCAGCATGCGTGAAATCCTTGTGGTGCAGCCTCGAAGTGAGCGGAAAATGAGGGATTTGTCAAGGACCGACGTCTGAAGGAGTAGTTAGTTTTGAACGAGGCCTCGCCATGGATTTAAACACGGTTTACACCATGAGTGAAGTAATAGGGAAGAGGGTATACCTGAGCACGTGCAGAATGCGTTCCCTTATATAACACACACGCACGACCGTAGGTAGAACAGCCTATGGAAAAATGGTATACTTGCTGCCCACGGCATGCTATTTACTCCCAACGCGGGAAGGAAGCCAGTTAAATCTACACAGGAAGTAATTTGTATTGGACTTAATGGGACTTACGAGTAACTGCATAGCGTGACGGTATGCTTGTATAATCAGGAGTCCCATGGATTTCAGTGGGACATACCCAGGTAAATGGAGCAGGCTCGACTCGATGGCCTTATAGGCCCTTTCCCACTCTTCTATGAGTCTTTTTGCAAGACTGTGACCTTACTGTGCAATCCTATACATACTCAGAAGTGAGTGCCCCTGAATTCATGGTAGCTTACATCTAGGAAGGTATATAGGATTGCAGCCTTTGCCATATTCCTGAGTAAGTATGTGCTGGCTTGAACTGTAAAAATGCAATTTTACACACCCTTACCAGGCTGAAAGTTTCCCATTATCTAGTATTCAAATTGGAGGTGGAGATGCATGTGAGGTAGGATGGCTTACATGAAATCTGCAAAATGCCATCCTTTGTCTCCTAGGATTCTGGCCTACCAAAGCAGATGCCATTTGTTCCTCTTTAAGAGATGCAAAAATAATAGTAAAAAAACAACTGATAACAATATGTAGAATGAGAAGATAGTAACAAGATAAAGCCATAAGCTAAATAGGGAAGTTCCACTGGAATCTGTGGAGTTTAGTACAGGAAAATAATACAGGTATGCCCCACCGATAAAGTTGACAAAGCTCTGGATATAGGCACAGAGATATGGACAGGCACACAACACAATATATAATGTAATTTGTTTAAACATTTTATTATGGGCCACTCCAAGTAATCCTGGACAAGACATTTAAACAGTAAAACTAAGGGACCAAGTAAATATAGCCAGCTTCTGCGAAGTGGCAGTAATCTTGAAATTAGACTCTACTGAAAGAAACTTGACTACAAGAGTTAATATATCAGTAATGTGATTATGTGAGTCGGCATATTTTACTTCGTTGTGTGTCACTGTTTAAATAATGTTTTGTACATTTCTTGACACAGCAAAAATACTGCTTTCAATAATATATATAATCAATAAGACTCTCACCATTTGACATATTAGAACTTTTGCTCTCTAAGTATATTAACTTCATATGGTTAAGAGCAAAAAATGCAAAGAAAAATGTGCAATCTAGCATGAACATTTTGTTTTATTTGTAAAATGTTTTATCAGCATTATTGTGAGGATGAAATTGAGAATTATGTAAGCTGCCTTGTTGCAAGGAAAAAGGCAGAATATAAATAAGTTTCCTGATCAGATCCCCATTTTTACAGTTGAAAACTGTTTTGTCAGTTTCAGACATCATGCAGCCATTGTGTGGCAGAGCTTTGGCTCATTTAGTCCTGGCAGTGCTACTCAATATTAGTAAGACTCCATCAGTGGGCTGATGGAGTCAAGAAATTAAAAGACGCTTGCTCCTGGGGAGGAAAGCTATGGCAAATCTAGACAGCATACTAAAAAGCAGAGACATCACCCTGCCAACAAAAGTGCGTATAGTCAAGGCTATGGTTTTCCCACTTGCAATGTATGGCTGTGAAAGCTGGACCATAAGGAAGGCTGAGCGCCGAAGAATTGAGGCCTTTGAATTGTGGTGCTGGAGGAGACTCCTGTGAGTCCCCTGGACCGCAAGGCAATCAAACCGGTCAGTCCTAGAGGAGATCAACCCTGACTGCTCTTTAGAAGGCCAGATATGGAAGCTGACACTCAAATACTTTGGCCACCTAATGAGAAGGATGGACTCCCTGGAGAAGAGCCTAATGCTGGGAACAATAGATGGCAAAAGAAGAAGGGGAAGGCAGAGAATGAGGTGGCTAGATGGAGTCACTGAAGCAGTTGGTCTGAGCTTGAGTGGACTCCGGGGGATGGTGGAGGACAGGAAGGCCTGGAGGAATGTTGTCCATGAGGTCGCGATGGGTCGGACACGACTTCGCAACTAACAACAACAACATCAGTGGGCTCTCGGTCTAACACCTCTGAAAACCTGGAGCTGCCCTTGGTTAAGCATATGTAACCCGCATTGATTTTAATGAAGATGTATACTACTTAACACATAAAATCACTGGGACTTGTATGTGCTTCATTTTGTAGCAGGTTCATATTCTAAGCATTTGTCAGCATTACTGCTCTGGGTTACTGTACGTGGTATATCAAAAGTAACAGCATGCTTATACAATAGTAAATCTTACTAAATTCAGTAGGATTTACTGTACTTTCTAATTTGTTCTTATGTGCTGTCAAGCCATCTCTGGCTTATGGTGGCCCTATGAATGAAAGACTTCCAAAATATCCTATGAATAACATCCCTGCTTAGCTCTTTACTTAATCAATAATCAACATCCTATATTTCTTTCTAAATGTACACTTAATATACAGAAACTTATTTTGTTTCTCAAGATTTTCTACAAAGATCAGGTAACAAAGGTGCTTTTTAATGCTTGTGGTTTTGACAATCCGGACAAATGTCATGAACATCATGTCCAGGCTTGGACATGTCCATCCAACAGGAGATGGTTTAACAAAACCTCTTTTGCCTTTAATGTAACCTCTTCTATCTTTAACGCATACTATTTTCTGCGAGTAAAACGGTAACAACTTCCCTATACAAGTACGTGTTTTGGTTAAGGTAAAACAATAAATCCAACTTAGGTTTAAAGCGCCATCGAAGAAGTTCTTCAAAACGCGTTTTCGCGGTCATGCGAAGCTAGATCAGCGCTTCAGTATTACATAACCAAAACCCTGCTCCCGAAAACAAAACTTCGCTTTAGGGTCTAACGGGAATCAAACTATTATGCAGGAGATGTTTTCCCCCGGAAACAGGGGTGCCTAAAACTAAGGGTTCAAATCAAGAAAATTCAAGGTTTTAGAATGCTCTTTTCTGAGCGTTAGTACGAATCACTGCTACGTATCATGGGAATAGTAGTATTCAATTCCAGGCGCGCACGGCTTGTAAAGAGTTACGCGCAGAGATCGGGTAGCGCTGCGTTTTTCGGGAGTTGTAGTTCAATAGCTGGTCAGAGTAGAGCTTAGTTTCACGTGAACTCTATCTCCCAGTAGCCTTTGCGAGGGAACCGGATTTCACCTTTTTCTGCGTTGCATTGTGGGAGAACCGGCGGCGTGGAGTGGTAGAGAATAGAGAGAGCAGCTGTTGGCTGAAGGCGCCTGGAGGGACGAGGAGCAATGACGGTGAATACAGGCGGGGATGCGTGTTGTGCGCCTGGTGTTGCTTTTTCGGGGGCGGGGGAGCAGCTGGCTTTCGGATGTGAACCAAAGAATGGATTTTTCGCCGTAGGGTAGGGATGGGGAAGGCGTGGCCCTCCAGAGGTTGGTGGACTGTAGTTATCATCCTTTATCATTGCTTATGATAGGTAAGGCTTCTGAGAGTTGTAGTCCACCCACATTTGGAGGGCTACCTGTGCCCCGCTCCAGCATTAAGTAGAGGGAAGAAAGGGTTATAGACAGGTCTGCCCCGGTGCTGTCACACTGCTGCTTTGACACTTCCATTCCGTTAGAACAGCATTTGTGGGATGTTTCCACGTCACATGGTTAATCCGATTTGGTGTTTAGCAAGCACTATGCAAAACTTCTCAGGACGGAGAAGATAACATCATTTATGTGATGAAATTGTAGTTAAACAGAATTTTCTGTATCAGCTTTTCCCAACCCAGTTCCTTCCAAATGTACTGGGCTACAAGCTGTGGTAGTAGGATGGTTATGATGTAAGCTGTAGTCATTACATCTGGAGGACACCAGCTTGGGGAAGGCTGGTCTATGCGGTATATTATCTCGTGATTTCGTTACATTGACCCATGCTGAAGAAAGTATAAATATGAACCTATGAATGGATCCTCCTGTTTCTCTCCAAGTACTCATTCTTCAGTTTTTCACCTCCCTTCACTCCATCAGGGAGGTTAATGCTTCACTGAGGAATGGAAAGTAGAAAGTAAGTTTTTTTTTGAGGAAAAATCTATCTAAATATAGTTTTCTATTTAAGATACCTAAGACACCTGGGCAACTATCTGTCTATCTTTTTCATCTTTATACTGTCCATTTGCCCAGGAATGGAGGAGAGGGCTCATTTATGAGGTGAAGATGGACGTGTAGGGTGAGAAAAGCTAAAATTTCCTCCTCCTGTGAAACTCTTAAAGCACAACATCCTTATATCATAGTTTGCGTCTGGCGATCCAAAGAATATGAAATCTGTGATAGCCTGTTTAGCTAAACGGAGGGACCAGTAGGGTGTACAAGACAGTGTGCTCGTTTTGCACGGAGCGGACCTCTTCCCATGTTTTATTTAGTCATGAAACTAAAGTGAACAATTATAGATGGCAGGAGTCACATGAATTTAATAATTGTAGAGCTCTGGGAGTTCTGGTAAGTACACCTGCTGAGTTTTCTTTCCTGTGAAGCTGCTAAAGACAGGAAACCCTGTTCATTTTTACATCTGATTACCATTGGAACATGTTCCACAGGAGTATTTGTGCTAGTCTGCTTGAGATGCAAAAGACTGCAAACAAATTCCTTTATTGTGGCATTAGCTTTCATAGGTTAGAATTCAATTCACATTGGATTTGCCATACCTACAGAAGTAAATGACCGTAGGACTAGTGTAGCACAGTGGAAGAGACCTGTTTTATGTTCGAAATGTTTTTACACCTTGGGTGGTCTGTGTGCCTCCTACAGCTATGTAGCTGAGGGAATCATGAAAAATGGAGCTTGTCATGTAGTATTGAGAAAAAGTGTACTTGTTGAATGTTTATGTGGGCTGTGGTTACACTCAGAGTGAATAAAAAACTGAAGTTTTTTTAAAAAATAAAAACTGATTTTTAAAAATTTAAATTAGATTTTTAAAAATGGAGTGTTTTTGAGGAAAAAATGATCTAAATGTAGTTTTCTATTTAAGATGCATTATAGTCCAAAGGTTATTCATCATGAAATTAGGATTCGTTTTTAATTATGTAGCATAGGGCTGTATATTCATGTAATGTTTAAATTTTTTGGTAAATGAATTCAGTTAATCCATGTACAGTGTCATGCTTTTCCTTAGGTTTCTCTAAGATCATTGGGCAATCTCTCTATTTAGAAGGTATTATCACAGATGCTTGGTTTTACAGTTCTCACAACTGTGAATTTATGTCTGCAGAGATCACATGCCGCTTCTTCACAGCAAAAATGCTAGAAAATAAACAGAGTTGAGAAAAAGACCTTAAACCCAAATCTATGTACACAGATTCAACCCCTTACCTCTTAAGTGCTAAGTTTCAAAACATTCAATGAATAAAAGAAGATTGTTGGAGTGGAATAGTTCTTCCCAGGAAGCTAAGAGTGTGGAGAGAGGAGCAAGCAGTAAAAATGAAAATGAAACTTTTGAGCAGAATGCTGCACAAGCCTTTGGATCTTTTTGTGTATAGCCTGAGGTTTGTCATACTCTTTTCCTGGAGGAGAAAATTTATAATGGCAGCAGGCCATAAAAGAGACCCAGTTTGGGAATATTTTAATGAAGTTCCTGTATGTATGGGTAAGGCAGGCATGGATGTAAAACCATGCTTTAAATCTAGCCTTACTGACTTGTGATTTTAAATCCATCCTAGTTGCACTGCCATCTCTCTTTATGAAAATACAGTGTGCTTGAAGTCTTCAGATGCAATTTCTTTTTCCTGCTTTAAAGGGTTGGGTGGTAGATAAGTTGTATTAGATCTGGTAGCTCATATGGTGGAAGTTTTAGTTTCTTGAGTCTTTATTTATTAGCATACTGGAACACATTGACTGGGAATGTGGGGGCCTGTCCTTGATTGATATAGCTCTTTTGCTGCTGAAAGTGGGCATCATAGCTTCATTTTTAAGGTACCATACACTGCTCAAAAAATGGTGGGTCTACCTAACAGAGCTTTGAGCTATTATGGCGCTCACTCCAGAGCATATGTAATGCCTCCTTTCAAACTAGAATAATACATGTGTCAGAGTGGAAGAACTTGTTTTTTCTGATCATATTATGCGCTCATTCTTTATCAGCTGCAATGCTTGTTACTGTGTCTTTCCTCAGTACAAAGAAGCAGTGTATAGTTAAAGGCTGGACCCAAATTTTTGGAAGGGCTGTTTCCCCTTGCATGAATGTAATCACACCTTTGTGGATGCTTGGAATATTTTCCTCTCTTTGGTGAGCTGCAGTGAATGAGAATGTAGGCTTGTGCCTTTTCTCAGCTAGCATCTGGACACTGGGATTCACTGCAGAGCAAAACCTGTTTGATGCTGCTATTTTGCTACTGGTAAATTCTGTTTGTTTGCTGTATTGGTTGGTTTTGCTGTGATTGCAAGCTGCTGTGAATGCCGCAGTTGGGCAGAAGGGGTAAGGTAAAAATGACTTTTTCAAATAAAACGTTTCATCAGGCTGTTATTTCAACTGTCACATGACATGTTTTTCACCCTGAAAATTATCTTCAGTTTCTTTCTTAGTCCAAGTTCCCAGTTGATTTCTTCTTCCCCTTAGAAGTTTCACATAGTTTCTAAACTCTGTGTGTGTGTGTGAGAGAGAGAGAGAGAGACAGACAGACACACACACACACACACACACACACACACACACACACAACGTTCTCACTGGAACACTTTGTGTCTGTGGTTCATCTCCTATGCAAAGTGCTGTTTCCTTCATTTGTATGCCCATCTGTCTGATGCATTGTGGGTGAATGTGACTCTTTTCTGAAGCTGTGCTTTGAATTATTAACCAGTGATATGACAGGCTAGGGTTTGAAGTGCTCATGTTTCACTGATCAGAAAGAAACCTCAGATTGTTCTTGAGTTTTCATAACGTCTCATTCTCCTTTTTAAAGGCACTGAGACTGTGTAGTTGTAATCAGTCCATGGCTACTTGCAGTTAACTTAGGTTAACTGTGTGGTCATGGATGGGTTTTGTGATGATATGCATTCTGTAGCTAAATGCATTGTCACCAGATCATATTGGGTTCATGCTCATTTCTTCCTCTGAGAACTGAAGGCAAAAATGCCTGAATGTTTAAGACTCTCATTCTCCTGCCAGTGGTACCTTATGTTGGCCTTACTTTATTTTTTAAGTGGTATTGATTTTTATGGTAGAAACTTTTCAGTTAAGCTACCTGCTTAAAACACACACACACACACAAACCACCCCAAACATATGTTTTGATGACTGAACGGAAAGACAATAATAGAACCAAGTCTTGTGGTTTTTCTTTGTGTGAAATGGCTTAACTTCAGTCGGATATTCTCTGGATATAATTTTGCAAATTAAAATTGTTTGGGAGCCATGAGTCAATGGAATCCTTCCTGCAAATGTCATGAATTCTGCAGTTTCCTTAATTAGGCTTATGCAGAAAACTGCATAAACCAGTTAGCATATATAAACTAACTTTGTTATAGAGTAGACCTACAGCCATGTTTGATATTTTGCATGATCATGTTTATTTGCCTGCTATACTCTACTATATTTCAGATATTACAGAAAGAGACTGCAACTTTGTGCATACCTGTTTACCATGTGACATGCTGTCTGAGATGAAATTAATTAATACAGTCATGGGCAGCATTCAGTTTTAAAGGGCATGTACATTTTTAGCCCAATAACCCTTCCTTACAATAGAGAAGCTATAGTAATGGAGCAAAAATTGCGATGATGCTCACTTTGCATAATGTCACTTATTTCTTCTTCAAATGATCGCTATGTGGTCTACCCATCCAGTATTGGAGGTGCCAGGTATAAGAGTCCAAGTTGGTAATCAATTGAGATTTTTTAAGTGACTGCAAATAATAAATGAAGTATCAGATTAACCAGTCTCAACATATTACAGGCTTGTTAATTCCAACAAAATAACTAGGTTCTGAACTCATATAAAAAGGTGGGTAGAAGTACTAAGTATAAATTATCATAATTTTTATGTCATGCATTAGTGTTGAACTTTGGATAAGAAACATTTTGTTGGATCAATAGGGGGTCGTTAACATTTGGGGGGTTGTTAGACTTTGTCTATGGGGGAAAATTTTGTTGTGATATTCTAGGCTATTAAAACCACTCTAATGAGAGAATTTTCTTCTTTCTGAAGGAACGGAAGGGAACAGCTAAATTAGATTTCCTGAGGAAGATTGAAAAGGAAGTTCAACAGAAGTGGCATGATGATCGGGCATTTGAGGCTAATGCTGCAGATATTGCAAACCCCAAAAGGTGGGATTATTTTTTTCCAGGAATGGCAGAAAACTAGAGTGGGAGTGGGGGCATGATGGGTATGTAAAACACTAGAGCTTTTGGGAAGCAAAACTGTGTAGCCAGCTCAGCATTTAAGACTGAGACTGAAAGCCAATTTGCATCATTAGAAAATCTGTTTAATTTTGGATTAGGTAAGTGGCGTCTGGATTTAATTAATTAATTTGCAATTGCATCATTTTATTTTGGTGATTCTGGAACAACAACAGGATAATGCAGATAGAATAACACAATATAGTAAAATGGAATCAATAAAGACCATGGCTGGTCAGTTCAGGGAGGCTTCCTGAAATAAAGTAGAGTAAAGAGGAAGGGATAGAGCTGTTGGGTTAATTTGCCTTCACTCAGTGTTGGCTGTCACTTACTGTATTTGGTCAAATGCAGGTTTAACCAACTGAGTAGACTCATATTTAATTGACAAACATTTCTTTAATTGGATATCAACCCCGATTTATGACTAGAGTTGCTGCATTCGTTTTAAATGAAATGCCTGTTGGGAGAGAGTGCTGTTATAGTGATATTCAACATCTTTCTTAGAAACTTTTGTTGTAAGCCACCCCGAGGCTTCGGCGAATGGGGCGGCATAAAAATGTTTTAATAAATAAATAAATAATAAACGTGTATATCACAAACCCAAAGTGCGATGTAACAGCTTTAGTTATCTTTCAGTTTTGTTTTGCAAAACATTTGGTGTGTTCTGCAATCTCTTTTCAGCTGTGGAAAGTACTTTGTCACCTTTCCATATCCCTACATGAATGGCCGGCTTCACCTAGGACACACATTTTCTTTATCAAAATGTGAGGTAAGAATTTTCCATTCTTGGCAACTTCAGCAAGCCCCTCCAAGGAAAGCAAAGTGTTTCTGTTTTGTCCTCAAGCATATTGAGTACCTGTCTCCATATTTTAGTCAGATGTGTATCCTTGTGTATCCTCTGTGTTTGAACTCTTGGATTTTCTGTTCAGTGCCACCCTGTCAATCTGAAGACTAGCTAGGCACACCCTGTAACAGTGCTGATGGGCCCTGTTATTGTTCTATGCTGCTTTTCCCTTATACAGACTTTGCTTCAAATGATCCCAAGATGCTGCATTTTCTCTGGTATCCATCCATAAGCTTGTTCACCTACTACCCACTGAACTGGTAAACCAGTGTTTGGGCTTTACTGCTTTGAGATTAATACGATTAAATACTTTCCCATAGAAAATGTGATGTTATTGGCACATGGTTAGCTATATTTTGATTTTATTGCTATGATGACACTGTTAGTATAAATTGTAAGACACACAGAAAACCTATTTTATGAAGTGTTTAATGAGCTTAATAAAAGAAATGAATAAAATCCTAGGATGTTCTTGCCTAGTCATTTACTTTACATGCTCATTTTTGTGTGCAGGGAAGTGTGGAAAAATATTCAGCCATACTGAGCCACCCACCTGCAGTCTGAGATGATACAATCCAAACACTGGCATGCTACCTCAGATTTATTTATACATTTGTTTAGGAATTTTATTTGAAATAAAATAACAGCTTTAAGAACAATAATTTAAAGAAAATTCAGATCAACAGTACTTACCTTCCCTGACCTGATACCACCAGACGTTTGGACTCCAATTCCCATCTGCCCCAGGTAGTATGGTCAGTAGTAGAGAATGCTGGGGTTTGTAATCCAAAGCATCTGGGGAATAGGAGGTTGAGGAAGGCTGTTCTAGAGATCCACTTGGTCAATTTTCAAAACAGCTGAAACTTGGTCTGGTCTTTGCTTGAATGGTAGTTGGAAAAATTAGCATTTTATTAAAGCTCTGCCTGTTTTAATCTAATCCAAATTAGTATTCTATGTGGACTTTAAAAATGAATTGTTCACTGTCCACAGCCTTTGATACTACAATCCTGTACATGCCTACACTGAAGTAGCACTTCTCAGAAGGCACATACAGGATTGCACAAGAATTTAAACTGCTTCTAAATCTGAGTTGTAAAGATGTTGAAATTATTTTTCTTTCTTTGTTCTTTTGAATTCTGATTTTTCATTGAGGATAGCGCATACTATTAAACCATCCTGACCATTTGCCACTCAGTGCAAGTAGTACTTCTAGCCCTGCTGTATTTTACTCCCTTCCTCTTTCTCTCATTCTGCCTATTCTCTTGATGCTTGCTATTGTTTTCACGTTCCCCCCAGTTTGCAGTTGGGTACCAGAAGCTGAAAGGAAAATGCTGCCTGTTCCCTTTTGGACTGCATTGTACTGGCATGCCCATTAAGGTAAAATTTGGACCTTATCTTGTGAATGAAAAAAGGCCATTCAGTTTCTGTATAAAGAAACACACCTTCTGTGTTCAGAGGCAATGTGTTGTGCATGTCACGTTATGGATCTGGGGATCAAAAAAGTGCACTGTGTGCGTATTCTGTTATGGTGTAGTAAAAGGTTTGAATCTGTTTGGTTTAGCATCCTGGTGTGAATGGAATCTCTGACATAGTAAAATGCTTACTTGGATGGCATAATGTAGCCTTCCCCAGCTCGGTGCTAGTTCGATAATTTGGGCTACAGCTCCCTCAGTTCCTTACTGTGCTGATGTGAGTTAGTCCAAAGCATACGGAGGGCACTTGGTTGGGAAAGGATGGCATAACAGTTGCTTCTGTGTGTGTGTGTGTGTTGGATTGCTTAAAGTGAAAAGCTGGAATCTACAGAGCTGTTTTAGGTGAACCTCAGATTTGAGCATGCCTAGTGTCACTTTGTGCTTTTTCTTGGAGGAAGAGACCCACGTGAGATTTTGCATTCTGCTTTTGAAGATGGCTCTGTCTCAAAACTTGTTTGCCCTGAATGGGAGTTGGGGGGGGGCAGCTTTGGTGAGCAAGACCAAAGCCCTGCTATATGCAGGGAAGCCACGCAGTTGCTCTCCATATCACAGTCACAGTGCTCTGGTGGGACAGCCAGTGATGCTTAATTGGGCCTCCATCACAGTCTGGTGCATTTCCTGTGTTATGGAGAAGAAGGTCTTGTGTATGAAAGAACTGCTGTCCAACAGCTTCATCATCTGAAAATATTAACAAAATGTGTTAATGTTTTGTTGTGACCATCAGGATTTGTTGTTTATTGCCAAAATAAATCTGCAACAGAGTAATGGCTTGTTTCTTTTAGTGGCTTCTAGCAATATGTTACTGACCCTCAGCATTTGTTTTTAACGTATTGGATATGCTCTTGTTCACAGCAGAGTTTTTCTCTAGTGCTGTAGGAATAGTGAGGGTGGTGATTTGCTGTGATCTCTACTTTCTCCTCCAGCTCGTCTCATGCGGTTGCTGGGGGTTGGACAAGCCTCCTGGGCAATGTGAGAGGTGGTGCTGAGGTCTGCAGGGGGAAGGGATAGCTCAAGAAATAGTTGCTGCTGTCTTTTCCCTCTGTGTATGGAAAGCACCTTTCCATTTGCGGATGAGTATGTCTGGAGCCAGTATATTACCTCCTTTGGACGCGAACATTAAGAGGCCACCTTTTGAAGAATTTTCCAGTGCTTGGGTAAATAGCCTGAGCCAGTTCACTTGTCCAGTACTGCCTGCTTTAGCTCTTGCCATAGAAAGGTTATAGGATGCCAAGTTTGGTTTTGCCAAATTTTGCATGCAAGAATTGTTGTCCTAAATGTAGTTACAGAGCTGCTCTGAATCTTCCTGTAGGCATGTGCGGATAAGTTGAAAAGAGAAATGGAGCTGTATGGATATCCACCAGAATTTCCTGATGAAGAGGAGGAAGAGGAGGAGGAACCAAAGGAGGAAGAAGTGGTTATTAAAGACAAGACTAAAGGCAAGAAGGTAAAATTCATAGTGGGGATGGGGAACCTCCCACTACTCTCCTGTTGCAGGTTGCCTTCCCTTGGGGGTAATCTGTCAAGTGGAAGCCAGTGGTGGTGGGGCCCAAAAAGTCCCACCCTCTCTCTTTGTTTCTTCCTGTCCAGTGGACTGGTTGAGGAAAGAGACTTTGCTTTTGGAAGAGGCTTGAGCTGATGGTTTGCCAAGGCTTCCATATTAGTCTGAGGACCACAAGTTGCCACTCTTGGTCTAGAGTGTGAATATTTTATGGTGCTACTGCAGGTTCATTTGCACCTGAGAAGTAAATGATCTTATATATGCATAGCATTTTATAATATTATATCAGGTATCTCCCCCTGCCCCCCCCCCGGTGTGTGTTCTTATAGATAAGAGTATTGTGCATTATCTTTACCTGTGGTGAAAAGAATCAGGGTTTTATTCTACCCATTTTTTGGGATTACTTCCTTCAAGACGTTTGTGAACATCCTGCAGCTGCCATGCTAAGTCTGCTAGTTATTTACTTTGTGTTGTCCCATTTTCTTTAAAGAGTAAAGCTGCTGCCAAGAGTGCCTCTTCAAAGTATCAGTGGGGAATCATGAAGTCTTTAGGCCTCTCTGATGAAGAAATAGTGAAGTTTTCAGAGGCTGAACATTGGCTTGATTACTTTCCACCACTCGCCATTCAAGATTTAAAGAGCATGGGACTGAAGGTACCTAATTTTTCTAAAACCATTCCTGAGCAGAAATATTGGTCTTAGGTTCAGGGTCAGATTTCTTTCCTTTTTTATTCTGTAACACTGTATTATACTGTAGATGTTTCAAAACTAAAATAACCCTCCTTTTTAGCAGTGTTTCCTAATTATATCTGCATGTTTATGGAAAAATGCTTTAGTTTTTCTTCTTTAGAGCAAACATGACTTTTATGAATTGAAGTAACACAGAGTGGTTACTCTGGCTATAATTCAGCAGGCTGCCTAGGCATATCCAAGGGGCTCATGCTAGCCCCGTGTGAAAACATACCTTTTGTCCTCTTTGAACAGCCAATACCCCCACTGTATCACATGTTACTTTTGAAAATCTCCTTGGTTTTCAAAGCAGTAAGTCATGTGAAAAGTGGGAGTGTTGTTCCACAGCAGGGGGTTGGAACTGATAGCCTTCTTGGTCCAACTCTACTATTTTATGATTCTAAGAAGTTCACTTTGGAATTACTTTCGCAGCTCTTTTGATTCTGGCGTAGAGTGAACAGGAGAACTCCTGACGGTCACTCAGAATTTCACACAGGCTTTTGCCACGCTACTGGATTCTCATTATTTTCTGAATTTCCAGGTAGATTGGAGACGTTCCTTCATTACCACTGATATTAACCCCTACTATGATTCATTTGTACGGTGGCAATTTCTCACTTTGAGGGAAAGAAATAAAATTAAGTTTGGAAAAAGGTAAGTAAGTTTCTTGGATGTATCCATTCGTTAAAACTTAACCTTGACTTGAATACACTGCTTGCTTACCTATTTCCGGTGTTCCATGTGGCCTGGGAGAAGGTTTTATGATGGGCTGTCTCAGTACACATGTTCAATTTTTCTGGGTTCTCTTTGGTGTGAAGTAGAGGAAAACCTGTGCAGCTTTAAACCTTAGGTGAATTATTCCAGTGACAAAATGAGGATTTTCACTTGCTAAAAGAAATACTTTATTAAGTGAAATTAGATAACTGTAGGTACAAACCCATGGATCAGATGCTTGAATGACAGAAGCCCCAAGACCAAAGGCTTCCAAGTTTCCTATGCCCTGTCAGGCTCTTGTCTCTCGATTGGAGCAATATTTTTGTGGTGTATGTTTCCCTGGACAGGCCTCTGAACCTGCCTAGCTGATGTGCACAGGCAGGGATGGTGGCAGAGCAGCCTTGGGATCCTCTCTGCATTTGGAGGCATGCTCACATCTTGGGAGAAACAGCTGTAACAGTGCTTTCTGCAGCTGGAAGAGCTGCCATGATGGGATGTGGTTAATTCCACTCAGATCTTTCCCTTCTGAAGTCATAGCACTGTCATGCAACTTTAGAGGGGGGAATCTCCTACATCATCTGTCCCTTCCTGATGCTGCTTATGATTGTGCAACTATCAAAATACGCAGTAAGATGGTGAATAATGCTTGCCTGAGTGTGGGTTAATGAGCATATAATTAATTTTACAGGTTCTGCCCTTTTGCATCCACAAAGCTATACCTTGTGCAAATGCAGGAGCAGCCTAGTATGTACAACTGGTTATTTAATGGCTAAGTATACGAAAATCCAATTTCAACACAGTGATAAGTGGAGCTATATTAACCAGGTGTGGTGGCCCACTTTAAAGATTTTCTGTGGACTATACAAGCCAAATCAGAATATTTCTTTCTGTTTCCTTTTAAGCAACAACTTTCCAGTTAGAGTTACTGTGCACAGGGCCTGGCTAACTGGGAACTATGGATGACACATGTGCTTAAATATTAAGCTGACCTAGTGACTGCAAACCAGAAAGGGCTCTGTTTCTAGTCTCTGGCACACTCCATCTAAGTAAAGCTTTCATTTGTCTTTTAGATACACTATTTATTCTCCAAAAGATGGACAGCCTTGCATGGATCATGATAGACAAACAGGAGAGGTAATGGATGAGGCTTGGTACATTCCATTATTAAAGACATTGTATCTTTGAAGCAGCATCTCTAGGGTCAGATTGCTGGGTTCTTTAATACTTTAGAGCAGGGGTCTCAAACTCGCGGCCCGCGGGCCAATTGCTGGGAGAGGCAGGGCCCGGGGGAGGGGCCCTGCGGCCTTCAAAGCACCGGCGGCGCCCAGGCCGGCCTCCGGGAGTGACATGGGATGAGCGGCCCACCCCCACCGCGGTGGTGGAATACTTGATGCAGCCCAGCCTCACCCAGACTCTGCTTCTAGCGGCCCCCAGGTAAGTTGAGTTTGAGACCCCTGCTTTAGAACATGTCAAGTAGCTGGGGAGAAAATGGCAGTTGTGCTCAGTATCTTCATCTCCGTAGATGTCCATGTGGGCCCAGAGGCATACTTCAGCCACCAAGGTGCCTGGTGTGGTTGCAGTTTGCTCTTGCAGCCTGCCCAGCCCGTTAGAAAAGTTTTAGAGAGGCAGAAAAAAGAGAAAGATAAGGTGCTGCCTGTGGAAAGGAAGCAAGATGGAACACACGTAGCTGCATGGCTAAGGAGCTACCATGGGAGAAATAGCAAGGCATTGTGGGAGCAGAGAACAAAACCACATGGGGAAGTGGGGAGAGAATGCGCTGAAGGTGACCAGGGAAATAGAGCAAGCACACAAGGGGAGGTGGAGAAAAAGCATGGAGGGGACGAACCTGGGTGGGAGCAACCAGGAGGGTGTGTATGGAGGCTCCTCAGGGCATCTTGCACTGATTAGGGAAGGGAAACATACAGTGAGTTGAATATAGAACAGCGTGGCAGGAAAAATAAGAACACCACCCTACTCTCTAAATCCTGAGCAAGTCTCTGAATGTTGCTGGCAACTGAATTATCTTAGGGCACAATCCTATGCTTGGTTAAACAGGAGGAGGTCCTGCAGCTCCCAGCATGCCTCAGTCAGCATGACTAGCTGGGGACTGTCAGCGCTGCAGGGCTTCATGTCTAAATATGAACAGGATTACACCCCTGATTATCTCAGTGGGGAGCCTGCAGGTACTTGGATCCAAACAACAGAGTTATGGATGTTTTAAAAGTAGCTTGTGATATGGAATTGGGAATCAATTCAGAGAGTGAGAGAGGGGAAAATCTTCAGGGCACAAACTGGATCCTTGCCACTGTATTGTGGAACTGGCTGCTTATGTGGCACGTGCTGGATTGTTTCCCACAATCTCCAATCCCCAATCCTCCAATCATTGGGCTTGCAGGAGGTTTTGTTACCATGAAATGCATACATCATTGCTTCAGGAATCTGGCATTCACTTGCAGAGACAGTGTGTATGTCGGCCTTGTTGGTTTAAAAACTGCTCCAGTATGGGGATGCTAGCTCAAGCAGGGGTGCCTGACCATTCTCTGAACAGCCTGTCAGAGCCACATATGTATGTGCAGTATGTTCACTGTTTGTGTTTGGTTTATAGGGTGTAGGACCTCAGGAATACACTCTAATTAAAATGAAGGTAGTTGAACCTTACCCTCTGAAGCTAAGGTAAGTCTCTTGATGTTGAAGTAGTAGCGGGGAAAGCTCTAAAGATCTTTTAATAAACCTTTAAAAATTCAGCAGAAATAGTTAGCTATGAAATCATACATTTTATCAATGGTGTAGTCTTGAATTTGCTAGAACTAAATGTTGTGACTGGTGACCTTTGGTTAAGACAACATTAGAAAGTGGAAATTCTTTACAACTTTAGAAGGTGGGAATGGATGCTAGGTCTGCTGACAGCTCTGCAGTAAATGACAGTAGCTAAATGCAGATCTTCAGATGCAACTGCAGTAGGTCAGTGTAGACCAATTTCTGGGAGACAAACCATGGGGAGGAGTTCTTGCTATCATATGTTGTATTTGTGGGCTTCCCAGATGCAGAGAGCATGTTGGACTGGAAGGACTCTTGATCTGATCCAGATCTCTCAGGTTCTTATGCATTAAGTTGAATCTTATGCAGACTTACCCAGAAGTCAGTCTAGTTGAATTCTAATGGGCCCTACTTCTGAGTAGAGAGATATATATATATATTGAGTCAGCCTTTGCTCACTGTTACATATCCAAATATGGATTCTTATATGTAGCTGCTGAGAGAGGCTGTGAAGAAAAATGCACTTTATTGTCTGGGTAGAAAAGTATTTTTGATTTCTTTCTGTCTAAATCAGGAGGGAGCAACTTGTACCTATCCAGATGTTTTAAGCTGTCACTCCCATTAGCCCTAGCTGGGAGAGCTTTTGTTGAGGGACCATGGGAGTTACAGGCCCAGGCATCCTGAGAGCTTCCAGTTGCCTACCCCAGATCTAATGTGCAGAAACAGAGACTGTCCTTTGTCTCTTTCTCTGCTAAATGAATCTGATGAAATAGGTTTTCTTTAATCTATAAGATGAGTTGTATTTCTTTTGCTTTTTGAACAACCTGAGTGAAGGGAAGGCCTGCAGAGCTCCTGTGTGCGTAGGTTTGGATTCCAGATTGGAAACTGCATCTTGCCAACAGGATGTCCAATTTTAGGATAAATTGTTCTCTAAAAAGCACTTTGTAAACAAAACCAGATTGCTGTGGGTGAGTGAGCTCTCTTGGTGCCTTTTTTGATCCTGATCTAATCATGGAGAGTATCAGTAGTTAATTGGCCTCAGTTGCATTTCCAGATTAATGCAATTGGAGCACTCAAAGACTGACTACACTTATTACTTGAGTAATATCATTATTAAAGAATTGTTGGCAATAGGCTACAGAATTTGTAGCATGTAGCTTCTCGGATTTTGTTCCTTAGGGGCTTCTTTGGTGGCAATTATGTTCTAAGCAATTTTTCCTAGGCAACTTTTCTTTGTTTTACAGTGGCCTTAAGGGAAAGAATATCTTCTTGGTAGCTGCTACTCTCAGACCAGAGACCATGTTTGGGCAGACTAACTGCTGGGTTCGCCCTGATATGAAGTACATTGGTTTTGAGACCCTGAATGGGGATATTTTTATTTGCACGCAGAGAGCTGCCAGGAATATGTCCTACCAAGGTTTCACAAAAACCAATGGAGTAGTGCCTGTTGTGAAGGAGTTGATGGGAGAGGTGAGCATCTTGTATTCTGTGGCCAAAATAATTTATATGGCAGGGCCTGCATATTAGCAAACAAACTTCTGGGATGTTTAACTTAGGACTTGGCCATTCTGTGAGTGTGCTATGACTTTGCTGACTTGAAGTTCCTTTCCTAGATGGAATCCCTACATCACTTTGGGGAATCTGTGCAGTCACTCCCAAAACCAGTGCTCCTGAAATGGCCCCATATTGAAGGAGCTAAAACAGCAATCTGTATGGGAAAAGAAATGATCATTTAATGCCCTGCTCTGCTGTCATGCCTGCACTGTGGTCTGGTTTGATACATTTTCCCTGTTGCGTGGGGCATTTTCTCTTCCAATGAAAGGCAGTGAAGTATTTTCAGATACCACTGGATTTAGACTCCTCTCCAGAAGTAGTGTTGATGTGTGTAAGCTGTAGTGATTCCTGCAGGTATCACCCAGTTCTGTTCCTGGTGATACTCCCAGCATTGCTCTTGAAGGTTGAGGGAGCCTTGGGAATAGACCACAGTGCAGCATGAGGAAGCGCTGCTGGGGTGAAGAGGGAGATAGGCAATCCTCCTCCAACAATACTGATGGAGATCCAAGCCCTTATCTACCCTCATGTATATTATGGACCTTCGAGGCTGCAGTTTTAAATGATCCCATGGCAAAAATGTGCTGCTGACATTTTATCATGCCACTTCTCTTGGTAGGAGATCCTTGGGGCTGCCCTCTCTGCTCCTCTAACATCCTACAGAGTTATCTATGCTCTTCCTATGTTGACTATTAAGGAAGATAAAGGTAAGGCTGCTTCTTATGTACGAATTCCAGCTTGTCAGCAAAGCTCTAAAGCCTGCTAAAGGTATTTAACATGATGCCTTTCTGCATCATCAGTTTATGCCACTCTGTGCTTTGGATAGGTTGATGGAAGGAGGGCTCATGACTGGATTGTTTTGTAGCAATGGTTTCACTTTGTTCCCTTTATGACTCTGATTCTTTTTTGAACATTTGAAGGGATTGAAAGGTCACCCCTCCATTTTCACAGTATTCCTTCTTAGGTCTAAGCCAGGGCTGTCCAAACTAAGCTTTGGGAGTAGCATGTGGCTCTTCGAGTTTATCTTGTGGCTTGCTGCTGTTGGTGACCGCAGGTATCCACGACTGCTGCCTGCTTGTCGCTTGCCACCTGTCGTCACCACCTGCAGGCACCCACTTGCGGCTTTCAGACATCTGACATTTACTGTCTGTGGCTCTTTGTAGCCCTGGTCTAAGCCTCCCTTCATCCTCTGTGCTGCCTTGTGTGATGTGACCTGCTATCCTTTTCACAGAATTCTGACCAAGTCATCAGTTCAGTTCTTTTATCTGTATTCATGTTGCTATGTTGAGATTTCAGGGAGGAAGCTGGTAACAACCAGTTTGCTCAGCGGAAGCCCAAAATATTTGAGCATATTTTTAGCTGTTCCTACAATATATTATCCTTATGCAAGCATTACTCACTTGGAGGAGCAACAGGCATTCATCCTTTCCTTACCCAATCTAAAAAGGCTGATCTTTGCCTTGATTTTTCCAGGGATCTAACTTGGGTAGAAACCTTCTGTAGTGGCTGGGAGGAGTTGTTTGACCTCATGTGTGCATGCATGTGCTAAACGCCTGCTTCTGCAGCCTCTTGTAAGCGCACCGCTCTTTCACACAAATCAGGTTTGGCAAATTGTGTTGCTTCATCGGAAATGGATATAGCTGCAAAAAAGTAACCCAGCCCTAAGAATGAAAGATTTGATGGCTCTTGCATACTTTAAAATATCAGCCACTGCCTTTAACAAATGCATTTCCATCTTTGTGTCATTGGAGGAGTCTATACCTTTTTGAAAAAGTGTAGTTTTTTTTGTGAACTTTGCCCGTAACAGTACCAGGGGAATAACCTGCGCTTCCCAAATGTTGCTTCCAAGGGACTGGTGTGGTCACAAGTGTTCCATCTGATGCTCCAGATGACATTGCTGCCTTGAGGGACTTGAAGAAAAAACAGGTGAGTCCGTTAAAGCCTGAGAACTTCTCAACTTGCTTGCAACTGGTTGGTGTCCACCCCAAGTATTTACTGATGCCAGTAAAAGTTGTTCACTGTAAATGTATTTTGGAAAAAGAGACAGGGTTTTCACGATAGAAAACAATATAACTGTAGTCAGAGTGTGTCAGCTGAATTTCAGCTACCCAATAAGGTTGATGTTGAGCTGGCATTTTTAACCATGACTCACAGGGCCCGGTGCCCCTTTAGCTGCAGGAGCAGTGATGTGGGCGAGTTGCTTTTCTGTTCCATTGAGCAGCAGGCTTTTGAGTGCTGCAGGTGTTCCTGCAGGTGCCAGCTGAGTGAGCAGCTGGCTTTGCTCCTGTTTCTTGTGTCTGGGAGGGGAGCGAAAAGCAGCAGTGAAGTGCACTTAGATGGCACTTAGGCAAATGCCAGTGGATGCACAGCAATTGGTAGACTCAGTGACATACTGGGGGTTCTCTTGGTTATCTCCAGTCACTGGTAATCCCAGGGGATTCCTCGTCCCAGTTCCTCCCCAAGTCCCCCCTAACCCACAGGATGGAGATTGGGAAGGGTTGGAGCCCTGGAGGGAATCCAAGCTACTGCTGGAAACTCCGTGGGGCAGGTTATCTCGCAACCAGCAGGTTCCCCACCTCTGCTGATCTGCTGCATCTTCTATACAACAGTGATCCCTTCCTCATCTCTTACATTTAAGGAGTTGAAGATGATTTGGTGTTCAACAGTTCTTTCAGCTGGCTGCATTTTATCTCTCGATCTGCCTGTGGCAAATGCAGGTGCAAGAGATTAATTGATTACCTTTTCTGATTGCCTGTCTTTTCTGGTTACCTGAATAAAGAACAGTTAGTTGATTGACTGTATGGGATTTGGTCTTCTAACAGAAATATTGATTTATTCCCCTGGCGTAAGAATAAAATATAGCTCTGAAGCAAAAGGCATGGTTCCTTTCTTTTTAGACCATGCATGTTTGTATTGCAACAGGTATCATCCCAGAAGAATAATTTCTCGCTCTGTGAGTGTGAGAGAGAAGGGGAAGTGCCTCTTTGAAGATCATCTGCTCTCTGTTTAATTAGTTTTAAATCTATCAGAAGTTTGCTTTATTAATCATACCGTTTGAGTAAACATGACAGCAAGAGCAATCCTCTTCATGTTAGATTTTTCCCTATTTGATTTTCATATTGTGTTTCTAATTTCTCTGTAGGCTTTTCGGGCAAAATACGGTATTAAGGATGAAATGGTCCTGCCATTTGAACCAGTAAGTGCAGCAAAGAATGATGTCTTTGAATGTGTGTGCTGATCACCTGCAGCAGTATTACCAGCAGTGGAAAACCCATCCTTCCAGATGTTGTTGGACTCTCAGCTTGCACGAGATCTTTCCAAGCTGGCTGGAGCTGATGAGTGTCCAGGTGTTATTGGACTTCAGATTCTTCCTTACTCATGGAGGCTTACACATCCAGCATTAAATACCTTCCATATGGTGTACAGCAGGGCTGGCAGAGGCTAGTCTGGATCTACTGGTAGATCTCTGAGTGTTTTAGACTAGATGAACATGGATTTCTGACCCTGCATTCTTTAACAGTAGCAGCAGTATAATAACTCTGCACGTACATGTTCCTAAACTATACTGCTGAACTGGAAAAGGTCTGAAGTCACCAGCAATGGATTTTAGCGCTTTGGATCTTAACTAGCCCCCCAACCCCCCCACAAAAACTAAAGCCCTGGATTCAGACTTTTTTAATTCTAAGTATGTGCACTAAGCTCCAGTTGCTGGACCTTGGGGTTCTCATGAGCAAGCAAAAACAGAGCCAGAAGTCACCTTTGGTGTACAAAATCCTCAAATTCTATGTAGATAGGCCACTATGACATGCATCTGTTATTCTTCCTAAAATATTTCAAGTGCCAACACTTGCTTATGGCAGTAGTTTTGGAAGGACTGAGAGATGGCTGACTGTAGATCTATATGTCAAGAAGAGCTATCCATGTTCTTACTCTAAGCTAAAGGGACCTTCTTCTCCCCTGAACTGTCCAACATTAAGCAAACACAGTGTTAGAAATTGGTGTTGGCTTTCATGGCCTGTAGTTTCATACTGTGCTTCAAATACTGGGAATCTACTGCCAGTCCATGTTGGCAATACTGAGGTAGATGAACCAGTGGTTTGACTCGGCATAAGGTAGTTTCCTATGTTCCTGATCAACAAGAGACCAAAGAAACAAGTTGGGTTTAATTTGTCACTTTTGGTTTATTTAGTACTGAAAGTGCATCCCATCAAGTTGAGTGTATGCAATGATTTATGTGTCCATTTACTGCTAATGTTTGGAAAGGAGATCCCTGGGGTTGAATGCAAGATTGTTTTGAGACCTTTAGAGTGCCATTTGATGGTGTGACAATTATTTTCTATTACCACATGCACCCCATATCAGAGAGCCTGAAAGACAAGGTTTTTTTTCCCAATCAAAGAGCTGGCCTGCTTTTCCAAGTAAGCATGGAAAAACATTTAGCCCTGCTCAGCCAGGAGATATCTTTGAATTGTTATGGATCCTTAAACCCTGGTCTCTTAGGCTATTTGGAGGATGGAGAATAAAATTATTCCAGTTGTTATTTAAGGAGCAAAGTTCAGTTGTACAACTCCATTTGAAAGTCAGATCCCTCTGTGTGGTCTGGGTCTTTGCTTTCATTCAGTCTTTTGGTGTTTCTTACATGTTGCATCTGTAGGCCAGGCAGTGGTACTTTTGTAACAAGATTGAAAATTGAATGCCGGTGGGTATTTGGCCACTGCACAAAATATTTGTGGCCGTTACATAGGATGTTGGTTGCCCCTTTGGGTTCAGGCAGTGCCTGATCACTGAAGAGTAGATGGCCAAGGAACAAACAAACCAGACCCCATCTTTAGGGTTACAAATACCTAGATGCTATCTCAGTACTACTCTGAGAAGTTCACATCTGAGTGGAACTAACTAACTGGGTGGAACTGGCATTTTCTTTTCTCCTGCCACCCTTTCCCAGCCTGTCTGACTGCAAACATGCCATATGCTGCTGATAAACCATAGAATGTGCGACCCTTTTCTTTGCAAGTTACAGGAGTCAATCTGAAAGGCTTTTGATGCACTTGCATAATTGGAAATGTCTACTTTACCATGTGGCTTGATATTCCTAGGTACCCATCATTGAGATTCCTGGCTATGGAAATCTTTCTGCTCCATTGCTGTGTGACGAGCTGAAAATACAGAGTCAAAATGATAAAGAGAAGCTTGCAGAAGCCAAGGAAAAAGTGTACCTGAAAGGATTTTATGAAGGAGTAAGTAAAACTTAGGTTTTCACTGGAGTCTTAGGAGAAGACTTTTTTCTTTTTACTGGAAGGAAAATGTTTCATCTCAGGTAGATGTATACAATCAATTTTGGATGTAGGGATGAAAAGAAATGGTACTAACATCAGGCTGGTGACACTAGCAGTCTGGCCTTCATTTTCTATACACATCTTTATTTTACTGATTGCAAATCTTGTCCAAGAGGCACCTCTGGAATGATGCACCTTCTTTTGTTTTGGTGGCAGTGAGGCAACAAGCAAAGACCTGACAGTTTCACTTTAACAGTGGAAAAATGCATTCCCCCAAGGTTTCCAGAGTGCAGTTTTGTATCAGATAAGGCACTGCTTTCCTTATGCGCCTTTTAAAAATAGAAAATGCAGCTTTTTGCGGCTGTATTTTCACATTTTTTCTCTCCAAGCAGCAGCAGCATTTTCAGCCACTGGGTGGGGGTTCTTAGGCTTGGAAACTTGGTGCTAATCCTCTGAATTGGCTTATGCCACTTTAGGGTACACATGTCTACATATGTAGACATTTTTGAAAAGTAAGATGCTCTCTTCTGCTGAGCACAGTGACCATCTGGATAAACAACAAAGCACCTGTTAGTGGGAGGAAAAAAATGCAAGAATTGCTATGCTGACATGTGCAAAATAGTTAGCAAAATGTCCATGGATGCTATCTAGGTAAACTTCGTGGTAATTTCTGTGCTCACAAAAGTGCATTTAGTGTTAGCTTTTTTTGCATTATACTCTAGTAAGGTGTATAAAAATGAATGCCTTTCTGTTAGGGGAAGGCTCCATTAGTATGCAGATGGGCACCTCTGGAGGTAAAGCTGTCTGCCTTTACTAGCATTAGCTTTCAAACGGAAGTCTTTTCCAGACATGGGGCCTATTATCTTTTAGCTGGAGAGGCCAACATTGAGGCCAAATATGTTTCAGATGCAAGGCATGTTCTCTGCCAATCAAACATGCCTGAGCATGATTTATATTCTTCCCATTTTCTACAATAAAGTTGTTATCATCCTTTCCACTGATAACAACTGGAACTCCATTAGTATCAGAAGATGCTAGATAATTGTTATTTAATCTTGGATTACTGAGCTTCTTTTCATGCTTCTTTAAACAGGCATGTCTCCTCAAAGAATATCTGCTTGTTGTCATCAGACATCTAATTACAACATCCCCTTCACATTTAAAAGCATGCCACAAAAAGTTTCTTTTGCTTGCCAGTTCATTTATGCAATGCATGTGTGCCTAAAATTGCACACAGGTATATTAAAATCAGTTGAAATAGCTTATTCGTCAATGAGGTGCTTCAGTTGTCCCTTCAGCTATTCTTTTCAGTATTTCTGTGTTGTCCTACCTTCACCGTATTCACATTTTCAATCACCATATTCTTCTTACCTTGGGACTTCCTAATACCCAGCTTTCCCTGCTGAGCCCATAGTTATCCTCTCCATTATAGCACAAGAATCTGGTTATCAGTCTTCCCATCTTTTGAAAATAACTCCACTTAATCTGTGAAGAATTCAGGGTCTTTTGAGGTCAGAAGGTAATATTGTTGGGATTAAAACCTTTGACTCATTTACAGTTATTGGACTTGGGGGCCCAGTTCTATGTATGGCTGGCTGGGGAATGCTGGGAGCTGTAGGACATTTTCCCTGTTTAAACATATGCAGAATTGTACCTTTAGGGGGTTTCTGGAGAGTTGCAGACAATGTCTGGAAAGAAAAGGGAAAGAGACCAGTTTTTCCACATGGGTGCTAAACATCTAAAACAAATTGTAACCTCTGCAATATTCTCCCTTTTCAGATAATGCTTGTGGATGGATTCAAGGGTCAGAAGGTGCAGGAGGTCAAGAAGCTTATTCAGAAGAAGATGGTAGACAATGTGGGTAGTGGTTTGCATTGCTTTGAAAACAATTATATAGCAGCTTCCACATCACATCTTTCCTGGCCTGTTTCTACAAATCACTGCTTGATTTCTTGGAACAGAATCATAGCCACATGAAACAAAGTAGGCTTAACCCCAGTTGCTTTGGTTTGGTGGTGAAGATAAATTATTACACTTGACCAATCAAACAGAAAAATGTCCATATTTAGGATGGTGCTTCCTGTGTGGCAGAGCTTACTCTTTGTGAGCTAATCCCTTACCTGTTTGCTAAAGGCAAGCTTTACAACCCTAAAAGGCCCTGATTTGGGCATACTGCAGAAGAGGGGCATGTGGTACCCCTGAAAATGACCAGCTGCTGTAAGGTTTTAGTTCATGAAGTTTGGAGAAGGAAAGACCATTGCTGTTTCCATAAGTTGAATTCTACTTATCATACTGCACGAGAGTTAATCTAGCTGATTTAGGCATTTCATTCACAAGAGGGTAGCTGAAGTACTGACTGCTTGGTCTGGTGCAGAGGAGGCCTTTGGCTGTGAGGGAAGTGCTGCCCCAAAAAGGCAGGGGCTTGGTGACCTCGATCAAGGGTGCCAAAACCATCTCACCCCAAAGGACCTTGTGTGTCCTGGCTTGGGGACGGGCTGTGTGTGCAGGCATAGCAGGTGTATCCTGGCTGAGGTGCTATTTCTTGATTGGTGGCAGCAGTGAGAAAAGAATGGGGGTCAATTGTGAAGGGCTGGAGAGGTAGCTAGCCCTGTGAGGAGCCACGCATAAGGGAGGACAGGATTTGGACCAGGGGTTGTACACCTGGTTCCTAGATTTTAGTGCCTCAGAACTGGTGCTGTGGAACTTCTCTCCAGTTCTTTCCTTGCTTTTGTCCAGGACAAAACCCAGTATTTCTCTGATTAGGCTGCTTCCGGCTACAAGCCTTACCCTTGTTCCAAGCATTCTCTCTTTGCAAGCTCCGAAACAAAATACTTCCCCTTCATTCCTCCTTGCTGTCGCTTTGCCTCCTGCTGCGTTCACGGTTCCAGTGGGCAATAGAATAGTCTCCAAACTTACATACAGAAAGGCCGATCAGTAATCAAAGCAACATGCCTGCATTGATAGAAACAAAGGGCAGACTGCTCCAGCTGTTCCAGCATTTCCTGCTGTGAGTACCCACAATGTGCTAATTCATGTGGAACGAGATCAGAGAGCTTCTTTGGAACTTATACATATTGGCTCTTGAAGACATCAAGGCAACTTGGTCCTGGAACAGCAACAGAACCAGAATAAGGAGCCAGAACCCTCCATCTCATGGGTAAATGCACAGGGACACAGCAAGCTAGCCTGGCCCCCCAGTCTGGCATCCTTTCCTTGACTTGCTTTCTTTTGCTGCCAAACCAGGCGACTTCTCGAGATGTTGATACTCTGTGCAGTTCTGCATCTGACCAGCTGATGACAGTACATATTAAGGAGTGAGGCAGTGAGTCTTGACTGTCTGGGAAAGACAGAGATGTTTTTAATTCAGCCTTTCCCAGCCAAGCTGGGACTGATGGGAGTTGCGTTCAACATGACTGGATCTTATCACATTGGGAAAGGCTGTTCTAAATTCTGCAGAGCTAACCTCATCTACTAAAGCTGGTAGCCTGAGTTCCCCACCATTTAGTTTTGAGACTCTCTCGTGTGTGCATGTGCATAAAATTCTAAGCAGTAAGCTTAACCCATCAATTATATCTGAATAAGGGCAGAAGCACTTGTAAAGAAGACAGGAAGGCTCCTCCTAGGATTCCTCATTTGGCACTACATGGGGAAAGAGGTCCAGAATCTTAAGACTCTTCTAAATCTGAGGCTACAGCTAAACAATCTAAGGCAATCACCCAATGAGCTCCATGGTTGAGTGGGAACTAGAAACCAGATCTCCTGAGTCCCAGGCTCAGTCTCAACTACAACAACACTGGCTCTCATATAAATTCCACTGCACTCCATGGTCCTCTGGGAATAACCAGCAGCCTGTTTTTACAGGATTATTGTCAGCTACCTGGAGGAATTCCATGGTCTCCCCTAAATTGTGAAATAGCTTGCCGGGTGGAGCTGGGCAGGGGTCTCACAGCTTCAAATTCGGTCCCATGGTCCCTGGGAAAGGGGCTTATGCGCATTCTGCTTTGATTGCTTGGTGCTGTGGATCTTCAAGATTTTCTGGACAATTTTGTGGTATTGTTTGTATTATCTTAGTTCACTGCAGCATTCAATTTGGGCAATCCATGTTGTACAAAATTACACTCCACAAAATATACATGAAACATGTAATGAGAATGCAGGCATTAGTAAGAAGCTTTTTTACAACGGAGAGAGGGCTGGATTTAAAGCAATTGGATAGTTTATTCCTATAAAATGCTTTAGCATCTTCCAGAACACCCCCACAATGTTAGGGAAGGACTAGCTGAGGGCCTTCCCCAGCCTTACAGAGAGGAGATTAGAGAGGTCAGATTTCTCCCCACCCCAAGAGGCAGACCCCTCCCTGGAGGGGGAGATGCAAAAGCATCCCATGGACCTGGGATGCCCTCCTACAGTTCCTAAAGTCACAGGTTATTGAGCAGGTTATTAGTAAAATGTCCAGGAACTTTGCCAGTTTTTTATTGCATGAGATTCATTTTTCTTGTTACAGCATTTTAATTCTGCCCTTTTATTATTATAATACAGGGCGAAGCAATGATTTATATGGAGCCAGAGAAACAAGTGATATCCAGATCGGCTGATGAGTGCGTGGTGGCTCTTTGTGATCAATGGTGAGTTGGAATTAAAGACGCAGTTAAATTTGTCACATGCGTACCCCACCCTGTCATTGCAGCCTTCTCATCCAGATGACCCTCAGAGCTACAAGTCTAATGTCTTCCCCAAGACATGGTGGCTGGGGATACTGGGGGTTGTAGTTCATTGCATCTGAAGGCTGAGGGAAGCTGCACCATGCTATAACTTTCCCCTCCTGGTTTTAGGTATTTGGACTACGGTGAGGAGAACTGGAAGCAGCAGGCTTATGACTGCCTGAAAAGGCTTGAGACGTGAGTTATGGCATATAGGGGCAGGGAATGTGTGGGTTAACAAAGAGCCAGGAGACAATGCAAAGATGCATGCTCTTCTTTTCCCAGATTTTGTGAAGAGACAAGAAGAAATTTTGAAGCTACTCTGAGCTGGCTACAGGAACATGCCTGTTCAAGGACCTATGGATTAGGTAGGAGGAGGCTCAAACTTCCCTGTTACTTCACTAGAAACGCAGCTTAGGTATAAGACCCTCTTAATTTTTTTTTAAATATCTGATGCATAGTGAGGCAGCATATGCAGTCTAGGATTTAAGAACGCTCATTTGAAATGAACATATTTTGTCATCTTGTAGGTACTCGTTTGCCTTGGGATGAGCACTGGTTGATAGAATCTCTCTCTGATTCTACTATCTACATGGCCTTCTACACAGTTGCTCATCTCCTGCAACAGGGTAATCTCCATGGACAAGGAGAGTCTCCTTCAGGCATTAGGTGAGAAGGGAGGGGTGGTAAGGAGGGGGGTGTGCATGTTTTCTTTCAGGGAACCAGCTTTGTGCTTTACCAAGTGAAATTAAGGAAAATGAGCCCCCTGCCCCACACACTTTGCATAGGTTCACTTCGCACTGCAGCAGGAATCTGATAGATACTGGATTTGCACAAATGCAATGTCCATAGAGCACCTGGAAATCTAAGCAGAGTTGGAAACAATGGTCATCAGAACTAGCCTCCTCCACCCTGTACAGCTATTTTTAAAATATTGCTTCATTTTCTCCGGGGAATGACAAAAGTAACTGAGGCGAGAGGCAGATGGCTAATCTTTTTCACTGACTGTCTGATATAAATAAATAGGATCCACTATCCTATTAACTTCTTTATGTAGTTCACATTATACATTTAGAAGCTATTTATGTCTCCATACTTGAAAGCTATTATAGAGCCTTTTAGACGACAACTCTCTTTTCAAAGCCCTTTTCATGTTAGAAGAAGCCCAGCTTTGGGCTTCCTGCAGTACTTCAGCTCTCAAACTGAAGGCTAGACATTGTGGCTGAGAAAGTGGGTGGTAAGGTTTTCCTTCTGAGTCATGATAATAGTCTTGCTCATCCTTCCTGGCTATTAGCTGATGGCTGATGGGAGTTGAAGTAGGCTAGGTTAGGGAAGGCTGGTAAACCATAACCTGATCTAATTGCCTTACAATCTCCCCGTCATCTTGGTTTGCTATAGAATTTAATGAGCTGGGTGTGTTGGTCCTGGAAAGTACCCCTTTAATATCTGCCCCTTACTGCTGTGTTCCATTGCCTTCTGAAATTTTGAGAGTCGACCAAATGAATGTGGAGCACGCCTGCTTTGAGCGAAGCCAGAGGGTGAATGCTTTAGAAATGGAGATTTTACCAGCATTCTCGCCTCTGCTTTAAGTTTTAAAGCTGATGGAAAAGGGAAGCGAAGAAGATTGGTTCAGATTACAGCTATTTTTTCCTGGTTTTTGAAGACAGTCATGGTGTGCCTGATGAGCCTTACTTAGACTGCCTAGTAGTTCTTTATCTCTCCCTCCCCCCACTCCCTTTATCTGAAAAAATAACAGCAGACTGAGATGAGTAGAATTTAACTTGGCTAGAACAGTGCTCTTTGCTGCTGCTTTTTTTCCTCTAGTCAAATACTGCAGCTATTGAAGAGGTCCTTGTGCCAAAGGCGACGTTACTTCAAATGTGTCCAGCAGTAATGCGTTTTTTATTGTTTTTACTCTGGGGTGGGTGCACGGGATCTAAAATTCTATCTCCTACAGCTGGGTTCTAATCTTGCTTGGGGGTCATGTGCCTACCCCAAAGTGATGTAGCTACTGAACACATGTTGAAATTACCATCTCCTTTGGCCCTTAATGTGAATTGCTAACTTGTGTTGAATGTATCAAATGTATTCATAAAGGAAAATGAAAAAAAAAATGAATGGATGTTAATTCAAATGCCTTGAATCCTTGCAGAGAAAGGTTGGATATACACATAATAAGATAAATGCATAAATAAAACTCCAGTGAGATATCAGAATTTGTTTGTAGCTGAAGTCAAGGAACTCTTTATAGGTCATCGCACAGTGCAGGATGTGGATGATTGCTTTGAATTGTGTGAAATGTGCCACTGTGTGTTCTTCCTGCTTAAGTTGCGCTTGCTATTTGTGCCGGCCAAGCTGCTGCTAGAGGTGACTGTTCAAGAACACGAAAACAAGGGTGTCTGCAATGGCAACAGAAGATCCCTGTATATGTGAATGCTGAAGGCAGATCTTGATGTAGGGACCAATCAGGCGGCAGAGCAGGTTGCAAATGGAGCCATTGCAGGGAGGCTCCGGGTCCTCCTTGGGCACAACCTGGCCTGCAGGGTGCACTGTGTCACTGCTCGTTTTTAGCATTCCCAGTAGCTAATGTTGACTGGATGCAAATGGATTTTGAAAAGCCAAATAAATAATCACCAGATTAAATGTTCTTTAAGTGTATCTTATTTTGAGGAGTCAAGGATTAATCTGTTGATAATTGTTCTAGTTCCTTCTCTACCTTGATAATGTCTAATTTGGGGTCTATTTCATGTCTGTCTTGTCTTATCACTGTCCTTTACACACTTATCAGTGGGTGTAGTATTATGAAAAATGGTTATAACCTCCCCACCAGCGTTACAACTTTTGCCCTATTTTTGGACTCCCAGAACTATTGCTTTCCAAATGAAAACATTTTCCTCTGAGTGCCACATCCAAGGGAGGTTTGGAAGGCAGTGACAAGAGGAGAAGCATTCAATCCCAGGGGTGCCTGCCCCCAGCTGTGGAGTGATCTTTCCACTGGGTCCTGCCTGGTACCAATCCTTTCTGTGTTGAAGCATTTAAAGACATCCTAGGATATATGATGGCTTGAGGAGAGTACACATCCCAGGCTAGTGTTTTAACTTGAAAATAAATCATGGTGTTTTATTGTATTGTCTACTTTATGAACCCTTGTAAACCACTTAAACTGTTGGGTGGTATACAAATGAAATAAATAATAAGTTTGAAAAGCAAGGGGAAATTATTTGCTGTCATGGTAGTGCATGAAACACAGGCATATCTGATGCTATTTGAAATTGAGTAACACAGTCAGATGAAATGCAGAGCATACACAGTGTACGCTTAGTCAACAGTTTCAAAATGTTAAAGATGAAATTTCATTATTGCCTCTTTCCTTTATTTCCTAATATAAACAGGGCAAACCAGATGTCCAAAGAGGTGTGGGACTACATCTTCTTTAAGACAGCTCCATTCCCTACAACAAAAATCCCCAGGGAAACATTGAATCGACTAAAGCAGGAGTTTGAATGTTGGTATCCTGTGGATCTCCGTGCTTCTGGCAAGGACCTTGTTCCAAATCACCTGTCATACTACATTTATAACCATGTGGCCATGTGGCCAGATCAAAGGTCAGTCTGACGTAATAATATGAAGCCATTTCAAAATGTGCCTTCTCAGCTCCTTTTATGCAAATCATACCAGCGTTTCTGTGGAAAACCTGTTACGTTCAACAGAAAACTAAATAGTCAGGATAATGTGAAACATAAATTGCTAATAAATACTGGAGTAGTGTCATGAGAGATCATCTTGCGATTAAATGAATGCCAAATAGCTGACATGCAGGGAACCTCTTTCAGTCTTTCTGAAGGCCAAATTCGTGTTTGGAGACAGCCTAGTGGTGGGTGGGACTGAAGGCAAAAGTGGTGGGGCCATGAAGTCCAACATACCAGCATGCTTTCTCTTAAGACACTTTCTGCCCACAAACTAAGCCTTTAGGGGAGGCATTTCAACATCTTAGAAAGTGGGGAGATAGGCAGAAGTCAAGACACCACTAAACTGTTGGCACTGGGGGAAATGGACCGGGGCTGGCTGTTGGGACAGCGAGGGGGCTGGGGTTGGCCTGGCCCTAAGGTTGCCTCCCATGTGAAGTCCCCGCTTGGCTGTTCTCCCTTTCAATCCCACGCTCAATGGGCAGTTGAATGAAGCGAGGGAAGTCACCTTCTCCTGCTCTGCTGATTGGCATGAACTCATCCAGTTTTCGTGCTAAAGGCAGTAGCATGTGTCGCGCTGTGCTTTCCGTTAGCCTTAAAGGTGTGCTGAGAAAGGCCTGTTGTTCTTGCTTGCCCACGTCCCAGTAAGTCCTGCGATGGCAGCCATGGAGCTTGCCAAGTGCTGCGGAATTCCTACCCCAGTGCCCTGCATCTGGTGATCCTTGAAAATCTGATCTGAGTTTCTGGTATGATACCCTAGAAAGCACACCAGTGGTCCCTGCTTTGCCCGCTCCCCACATGCACCAGGTTGTGATAGCTGGTGCCAATTCAGCCAGGTTGCTTGGCCAGGCAAAAGCTCTGCAACTCCAGAAAGTGGGAGATGGAGCCACCCTCTCCCCAACCTGTAACTGTGTCTCTCCCAAAGTGCTTACTCTGATCCAGTGGCAGCCATCTAACTGCATCCTTCTGCAGCAAGTGAGAGTGAGAATATTTTGCTTCTCCCTCTCTGATGGAAGGGCTAGCAAGGATAACAGTGCCATGTTCCCCTCCTGCTTTACTTGGCTCCTGCTACACTATTTTCAAGGGATGGAGGCAAGTTTGTCCTAGCCAGGAAACAGCTATTACAAGCAGGCATTCTTGCTGTAACAGTTCAGGCACTTTCAGGACGAACTGGAAACCGAATAGCCGTTCTTATGGGAACATCTGCTTGCACAAGCACTATTGAAATAATGAGATGCTTTGCAAGGCTTCAGTGATACCCTGAGTGTGACACAGTATAAGTGTATCTGAACACCCATACATTATCAGTGCTTTGAGTTCAAGTTTCAGCAAAACTGCTCTTGTTAAGCCATATACTTACGCTGCATCCCTTATTATCTTGGGAAGTTCAGTCACTCACATGGTGGCTTTTGTGAGCAGACCTTTTGCTTGCATCTAACGAAACATTAAATGTTTGATTTAAAGGGAACTGATAAAGAACCTTTTCTTTTTCTTGTTTGACCTTTGCATGCAGAGAAAAATGGCCTGTAGCTGTGAGGGCAAATGGACATCTTCTCCTGAATTCAGAGAAGGTATACCATCTTGTGTAGTCTATATTATACATTTATGATAGTCAGGACTGTCAGGAAAGCATCTGTTCCAGTTCCAGAAATCTTATAATTGTCTGACTTTCTAGTGCATGTTGTTTCCAGTACATTTATTCAACAGATATCTGCTTGCTTTCCTATGTGAGTATCAAATGCTGCAGTGTCTAAGAATATATATTTCCTGTCATTTCCCCTGAATTTATTAAAACCTCTGTTTATCCCAAAGCTTTGTCTGTTCTTGCACGGTCAACAGAAATATTTGCAGGACTTTTAACAGGCAGGTAGTTATTGAATTACATTTTCTAGGATCACTAATATTGAAGATTTTTTTACCTCAAGTTCAAGTAGATCTCACTTTTAGATCTTAACCATAGAAATCTTTTGCCTTGGTAGTGTAGGTAAGACCCAGAGACAACTTATTCCATGTTTGTTTTCGCCTTCTCTTGCATTTGGTATACATTGGATGTTCACCCATATAGAATCAAGCCACAACGCTGGTATTGTTATAATAAATCAAGCAGTGGCCTTTTAAATTTATTCATTTCTAGAGGAGTTGATTTATTATGGTTCTCAGGGTTTGCCATATTTTAAGTTGGTTCATATGCCTCTCTTTTAATCTTCCCTTACCGCAGATGTCTAAATCTACAGGCAACTTTCTCACTTTGCATGAGGCTGTGGAGAAGTTTTCTGCTGATGGTAGGAAAGCATAGGAGGATGAAATGTGAAAAATTCTGCTTAATTATTGGCTTGATTTTACTGCTACCATTTCCATAATAACTGACTTAATGTTATGTTTTGGAATGGAGGACATAAATGTGTATCTGAATAATCAACAGTTTTCCTTATCTGTGGCAAAGATCAGCCTGTTGGGACTGCATAAGGAGAGGCCACCCTTCTGAAGCAGGGGGGCTAGCACTACACTGTGCCTCCCTGCTGTCGCTTTTAACTTGCTCTGTACCCTTTCACACCAAAAATCATCCTGCTGTGCTGTGATCCAGCAATTTTATCCCATTAGCAATTCTAATGTTTTCCTCCTATCGCCTACTTGGTTTCTGAAGTGTTGCTGTGCTTTGGTGGCTGGGGGTGGAGGGGGGATTTTTAGCAATGCATGTACTTGTGCATCAGAAATATGAATGATTTTATCATGTCTCCAGATCTCAATTAGAGAAGCAGTTGGGATTCAGGCCTTGTGGTTCTTTTGTATATAAACACACACTCACAAATACCTGATTCCCAATTACTTTTCTAATTGAGATCCAGAAATGTGCTAAAAATGTGTGTGTGTGCATGCAAGCGAGAGCAAGAGAGAGGATTCGATTCAAGCCCCTAAATCCAGTTTCTCTTCTAGGCATGCGACTGGCATTAGCTGATGCAGGTGACACTGTAGAAGATGCAAACTTTGTGGAAGCCATGGCAGATGCTGGCATCCTCCGCCTGTACACATGGGTGGAATGGGTGAAAGAAATGCTTGCCAGCTGGGACAGTTTGAGGAGTGGGCCCGCAACCACCTTCAATGACAGGGTCTTTGCCAGGTACCAGAATGAAGTGCTGTGTTTCTGGGTTTAAAACACACACCATATGTGATCTTTTTTACTTTCTTTCTTGGGACAGTTTTACACAGTCTTGTTACATTACAGGAGCTTGCATCCTGGTACTTGTCAGCTGTTTTGAGATCCATTTTGAATACAGATAGAGTAAAAATGTTTTAAATTAATAAAAATACTTCTTTATCCAGTCTAACTCTTGCTTTCTCTTGTTCTCTTCCTCTTTCTACCCAACCCCCCCCCCCCAGTGAAGTAAATGCAGGCATTTTGAAAACAGATCAAAACTATGAGAAGATGATGTTTAAAGAGGCTCTTAAAACCGGCTTCTTTGAATTTCAGGTAGGCTGCAAACTCTCCAGAGTACAGGCCCTTGACATTTTTGTTCTAGCCCAAAGGATGTCAAGGCAGTTTACCACAAATTTTAAAATGTGCAATAAAAATACCAGTATTAAACTAGAAGATAAAACCAAAATAATCATGCCTTGTTCTTTCTGCTGAGTAAGACCACTATTCCTCTGCCTTGTTCTTTCTGTTGTACTTCTATCACCTAGGATGTGGGTGGGAGGAAGGATGGATGGATGGATGGATAAAATGGAGTGATTGGGAAATGTCTTATATGATCAGGCCATCTGTCAGTCAACCTGCCCACCTGTTAAGAAAACGTCTTGAGGTAGGCTGATGGTCTAAAAACATGTACCTTGTCAGAAGAGGAAGAGAGTCTTACTCAGCTGTGCTCCTTGAGACCCCTGAATGGAAGGGAAACTGCAGATTGAGCCTGCACTTTACAGATACTTTGCCACTGAATTACGTCCCCTTGCACAATGGCCTCTCTGCTTTTGCTGAATCACAGAGCACAAATTTAGCTTCGTGCAAAAGGAGAAGTATAAACAAAGCAGTACCCTTGCAGTCCGTGGTCTGTGTTTCGGTCGTGTGCTTCCACATGACAGAGTTTCCACTTTGGCCAACAGAGAGTTGCAGCATTACCAGGCTGTAAAGAAGGAGAGCTGATAATGAAAGCCAAAGAGGGTTTCCTTTCTCTCTCTTTTAACAAAGCAAATTCTCATCAAGGCTAGACGGATCGAGAAATCTATTCCAGCTTCCATTAAAAAGCAGCCTGTTTTTCACCAAAGTCTGTAACGTGTCGGTAACTCTTCAGCCTATCTGCTCGGCATGTTGCTTTGCTTAGTAACGAATTGCTCTCACTCCTTTTACAGGACTGACTTCCAGGAGTGTGGTTCGGCTGGCTAAACTATGTGCATAATAATAGATCATATTTATTGCCTCTTTTTTCCTTACTACTTAATGATAGCTTTTTATGTGGGCCATTCAGAGTGTTAGTGCCTAATCTACAGTTACAGTTATCCTTGACTTTTATGCCTGTGCCGATAGATGTCTCTTTTAAGAGCTATAATAATGTAAAGCTATATAATGTCCAACTGGCAGAATTTCATTTGGTCCTAATCCCAGCTGTTGCATTTGTGTTTTTCTTTAAATAAAAAATATGGCCCCTTTAATAATCCACTATAGGATTATAAGTAGTTTATATTTTAAGGACAAATTAGAGGAAGGAAATGGTCTTCTGTGTGGTGCTTTTCTGTGACAGGGTGTTTTAATGGTGCTGTGCCGGCTCTCTTTCAGGCAGCAAAAGACAAGTACCGTGAACTCGCGATAGAAGGCGTGCACAGGGACCTGGTGCTCCGGTTTATTGAAACTCAGACCCTCTTGTTAGCTCCTATCTGCCCCCATGTCTGTGAGCATATTTGGACCCTGCTGGGCAAGGTACGGCTGTTTATTTACCTGTGAGATGTCTGTGTGTATGCGTGTGTGCGTATGGAGGCAGGACTTGTGTGTTGCAGGGCCCTCGGGCGAGCAGGGGGTGGTGATGCCAAGCATTTCTTCTCCCTAATGCCAGCATTTGTTTTTAACTGCAACTGAAAGATGGACTCCATCATGAAAGCCTCCTGGCCAGTGCCCGGCCCCATCGATGAAATCCTGATCCGCTCTTCCCAGTACCTCACTGAGGTAGCCCACGATCTCCGCCTGCGCCTCAAAAGCTACATGGCACCAGCAAGAGGAAAGGTAGTGTCAGTGCCCCCCATCCTTCTAGGACACCGTCCCCACCCTGGTGCCCCCAAACACCTCCCAGCCGCCTGGGGATACTCCCTATTGGGGGTTGCTGGGAGTTGCGGTCCAACCCATCTGGCAGGCAGCAGGTTGGGAAAGGCTGCTCTGAGCATTCGTGTATTCTGCTAAGGAAGACCCGCCTTAATGTTTTCCAGAAGGGCAATAAAGAGGCACCACAGAAGCCCTCCCACTGTACAATTTACGTGGCCAAGACCTACCCACCGTGGCAACACACGACGTTGTCTGTCCTGCGCAGGCATTATCAGGTGATCATCCTGCCTTTTTTGTGCTTTTGTGTTAAGTTCCATCGACTGACCTGTAAAATGATTTTCACCAAGTTAAGAACCGTATTAAACCCAACACAGCAAGCACAGGTAACAGCAAAGAAGAACCCCTATTTCATTTTATTCTCTGTCTCATTGCTTGATTTCTGCACTCCCGCTCTTCTTTATTGACAGTAAAACTAACTTGGCATTGAGTCCACTGACTCTAAGAGGAAAAATTTGTATTTCCTCTCCTTTCCGTAAGATTGCACAGGTATTGCAGGGTTTGGGACTAATGCCCCTTTGAGCACATGGTTAAGTTTCTTGTATAATCTCAGTCCGAGCAACACTTTGGAAATGGATGTTATGAAGATTTATAACTAATCTGCACATTCAAGGCTTGGTGAGCTCTTTAGTTTTGTACCAACCGTACTGTAGAAATACCGATTTGGTCAGGCTAGCGCAACATCATTATTGTACAAGCTGCTTATTGTGCTGATCATTGAGTGTCATCATTCCTTGGCACTGTAGGAAAAGTGTGGAGTGCGCTCTTCTGTTTTATAATTAACATAATGCAAAAAAATCTGAACTTAATAGTTGTAGTCCCCGAACTGTTGCAAGGCTCAGGAACAATGGCATTCGTAGTTCAAGTAAAACAGCTAAGTACCCCCAGTCCCTTTGTGGACTTGCAGTCTTCTCTAACTGAAGTAAAGCTAATCTCCTTTTCATTGGAAACAATGAATCTTGGCCACTTGATGTTTGTTGCCATCAATCTATTTTGTGGGGAGAGAGCATCTGGATCTTCCTAACAGAACAGAACATTTTTTTTGGAACTTGTATTGAGGGAAGTTAAATGCAAATAAGATACAGTTAAAGCTTGCTGAATAGTAGGTTGAATCTCACAAGGAGAGTATCTGAGCTGATCAAAGCCTAGTCCCAGGTACTCTGAAGACATCCATTTTATTAAGCAGTGAAAACTAACTAGTTCTTACATTTATAAACACAGAAAGCTGTCTTGCACCGAGCCAGTCCATTGGTCCATCCAGCCCAGTATTGCTGAGACTGAATTGCAGTGGCTCTCCAGGGTTTGGACAGAGTTCCCCAGTCCTTCCTGGAGATGCCAAGGATCAAACCTGAGGCCTCCCACCTGCAAAGCTCTGCCACTGAGTCACATCCCCTCCCCTTAACCCAGGAACTTCCTTATGTAAGATTCTGTATTTAAAATCCAGTCCTTCCTCAGAGGAGCTCTCGGTGGCACATGTCATTCTTCCCCAATTCAGTTGTTTCCGAATAGTGCAGTGAGAGGGATGCAGGTGGCATAGAGGTTTAAACTGCTGTCCCAGCTCCTGCCAGCCTTGCAGTTCAAAAGCATATAAATGCAAGTAGATAAATAGGTACCACTTTGGTGGGAAGGTAACAGCGTTCCATGCAGTTCGGTGTTTAGTCATGCCGGCCACATGGCCACGGAGACTGTCTGTCGTCTAGGAAACAGAGATGCGCACCACCCCCTAGAGCAGGGGTCTCAAACTCAACTTACCTGGGGGCCGCTGGAAGTAGAGTCTGGGTGAGACTGGGCCACATCAAGTATTCCACCACCATGGTGGTGGTGGGCCTCTCATCCCGCATGGCTCCCGGAGGCCAGCCCAGGCGCCACCGGCGCTTTGAAAGCTGCAGGGCCCCTCCCCCGTGCCCCGCCCCTCCTGGCAATTGGCCCGCGGGCCGCGAGTTTGAGACCCCTGCCCTAGAGTCAGACATGACTGGACTTAACGTCAAGGGGAAACCTTTACCTTTAGTGCAGTGAAGTAGGTTAGATGGAGTGCCAGCAACTGGCCCAAGGCCATCTGGTGAGTTCCCTGCCCCAGAGGAGATTTGACCAAAGTCTCCCTTTCACTTGCTTGCCACAACACCACCCCAATGCTGGGCTGTTTTTGGCACAGCTCCACATATCTGGCAGGTGAGGAGGGAGGGCAGGTGGTTGGTAAGGTGGTGGAGAAGATAGGAGGGAAAAGTGCCTGAAACAGAAGCGTCTTCCCACTTCAGAGGGGACCTGCGCCATTTCCAAGCACTGGCCTTCACATTTTTCGAGCCACCATACCAGACGCAGCCCGCCACCTTGAATCAGGGGCTACTAAGTGTTCAATAAACCAGCTTCCCTCCTCTTCCTGTTTCTGTAGTGCTGGAATCCAGAAGAACCGGAAAGTTAATGGTGTTCCTTGTGAACCACAGCTGCTGAGTTGCATTCAGCTAGGTGCATTAGACTTTGCGAAGGCCTGAACCAATCTTTGTGCCAGCAAAGCATGTTATTAGCCAAACAGAAAGGAAGAAGAGCTTTGCAAATTAAAATGTGGTTTTATGTATATACTTCTCTGTTCATTAGAGTAACTTTCTAAGCAGTGATATTTAAAGAGAATTGGAATTTGAAGAATTCTTGGGGCAGAATGGATTTCATGAACATGAATATGAGTGTAAAAGGGAGTATAAGGATGATAAATTTTGGCCTGAGAATTACAAAACCAAATTGACCACCATTTGGGAGAAGCTAAAGTGAGAGATGCCTACACTAACCTCTCAAACTGTCATGTAGCAGTATAATTGGGTCTCATGTGTGCTTTACTTTTGTTATAGGCCAATGGAGGCCAGCTACCAGACAACAAGATAATTGCCAGTGAACTCAGCTCCTTGCCAGAACTGAAGAAATACATGAAAAGGGTTATGCCTTTTGTTGCAATGATTAAGGTCAGCCTTTGTGCAACTTATTTCCGAGCTATTGGAAAGCCTCTGTCAGCCCCGTCTCTTTAAATGCTTGCTTCTGATGCATACAAGAACCCCAAGAAATTATGCAACTATTTCAGTTAAAACAGCACACAGAGGTGCAAGAAAACCTCAATATAGGAAATGTCTTCAAAGTTGGTGGGCAGCTGCTGTCATGTATTTGTGTATGTATTTGTGAGGTAATCATTAGGGTTTCTGGGAAAAGCTGCAGAGTTCAGGTGACCTTTAAAGTGGAATTTTTTGGGTCACTGCCACATGGAGGTTTTACAGCCGTATTGAATAGCCACAACACACATCTGCAACTACTCATGCCATTTGCTCCAAGAGTGCAAGGCCTAGTTTCTTGCAATATGTCTGTTTCCTCCATTAAACGCTCATTATCGCTTAACTTTTTAACCCATTTCCCAATTGCACGTCTGTTGTGGACCTCCTAATAGGACTGTGCTTTAAATTCAACAAGACTCTGCGCAGTTAATAACTGCAGAATCGAAGTAAAGTTCTGTTAGGCATACTGTTTTATTCAGTCTGGTTCCTTGGAAAGCCCGCTTCATCGTTATCAGTAGAAATAGCCCCCATCCTCCCGGCAACAGATTGAGGACTTCCATTCTTCTCCATTGCTTGAGGCCACAACAGAGCACAGAAAGCCCTCTGTTGTAATGGAGCAAATAATTATAACATGACCATTTTCTCTTCACCTTATTTTTAATCCCTCACTGGTGAATCCTCGCTCTGATCTGAATTAGCTAAAGTACTAGAATAATGTCAGTATGCTGCAGCTAATACATCTTCAGCCATAATTAATCTGTAACGCTGACACATGCATGATGTATATATCACTGGGCTGTGGATGCTGAACAAAATGAGAAGATGTGTCTCAGGATGTTGTAACTTTGATGTTGGCCTGTTATCATCAAGCACTGCATTCGTTAAGAGTGCAATAAAGCTGGTGCTTTTGTAAAGGGCAGTGATATGCTGTGAACCTCAGAAAAGTGTTGTTTCTTTTCTTTAGTTGTAGCAAGGAGCATTTCCCATCCCAGCACTAGGCCTGGGGTTGTTTAGGGGAGCCGTCAGTCCTGTTAGACTATGTGAGTGCTCATCACGCATTGCTTTTCTCTGTTCAAGACTAATATGAAAATCACCAGGTTTGCAGACTGGCAAAAGAAGGGCAAGGCAGCTGTTACTTATCCTCATCTTTGCTTTCTTAAGCCAAAGCTATGAAACCTCAAGCTCTGTTAAGCCCCATTCATGCATTTAGTCACTGTAATTGTGCACTTTCATCCTTCCCTGACTGGGAAGAAGAAATAGAACAGCATTTACCTAAATGTGCTCTCAGGAGCCCTGATAAGACAGGTAAGAGGAACAACACAATTGCAGGTGCTTGCCCACTTTGCTTTGGATCACTATGATCCACTTCAAATGCAACAGTGGCAAATTAGCCAAGTATTTGCCATGGCTTTGCTTGTGCTGGATGGGTGCTACAGGCATTTTGAATATTCAGTCTCTGATCAGAGGTTGCTCAGTGATGTCTGAACCAGTACACTATGGGTTAAACCTGGGTTAAGCGACTCACAGTTAAACTAACAGCTAATTATGATTGTTAAAATGGCAGCATACACCTATAGTTTACCACTGCTAGGTGCAAATGCAGCCATTGGATTGCTTACCAATCTTTTTTTTTTGTTTTTGGCAGCAGGGGTGTACCTAAAGGGCCCATCAGATAGCCACTACATGTGCATTGTGAATTGGCAAAAGAAAGCGATGATAAACCAAGAGCAAGAGTCATTCAGCACTCATTCTTTGGGCCTGCGCTGCAAGATGCGAAGCAGATTGCCTGGCAATTAAAATTCACTAAGCTATTTCTCTGCATTAGTCATGTTAGAATGAATAAAATTTTGGCATAATGGATTATTTACTTTCTTAAACACAGAGTAAACCATACTTGATTTCTAAATGTGTTGAAGAGTCAACACATTAAGGTTGTAATTTCTGGTTTTGGGTCAGAGTGGGTTGATTGGTCTCTAGATATTCAACCAGGAAGCAATCTCTTCAAAGGAGGACAAGCTTTACAATTGGTGATACCATCAAAACTCAGTAGAGCTTGGGGTTACTGCACAATATAGAAAGGTAAGAAATAAATGATGAAATACACAGTTTCAGCTCAAGCATCCTTCTCAATATCAACTGGCGACTTCCTTCCTCTCTGCCACAAGGTGCTTGTTTGTGTCTTGGTGGCTCCATGCCAGTCACCTTCAGTGGATGGGAGGGTGGGCAATTTCCTCAATCCCATCACTTGTTGCACTGTAGGGTCACATGCCCCTCTTCTGCAACAGGAGGACAGGCAACCCGCAGGAATGCTCCTGTGGCAACTTCTTGGTCAGTGCTGATCCTGGTTCCTTACCAAGCTGGATGCACGGGCAGTTGGAAGGGCTGGTGCAGGCAGGGGGTGATGCCAGGAGGTCCACAGTATTTATTAACTTCTCAAGCCCTAAATTGGGTGGGGGCGGGGAGGCAATGGGTCTGTGCTGAGGTCCTGATGCAGCTCATGAACTGCACAGTGGAGGCTTTGCTGTTTGCGCCAGGTTCTTCCCTCAAATGGCACTCCATGCATATTCTCTGTACAGGCAGCATAAGGTTCCTCATATTAAGACAAGATCAATTCATCTGGCCCTCAAGCTCAGTCCTATTTGGCACCTTGGTGTAAAGGAAGACAAAAGAGCAGCTTGCTGAACAGACTTGTGTGTGTTTAGGCAAGGAAGAGGTCCTACAGCTCCAGTTATGCAGGCTGGGGAATACTGGGAGCTGTGGGTCTTTTTTTTTTTTTTTTTTTTTTGTCTAAACATGCCTAATCCCTTAAATGTTGAAGCTTGAGTTTCCTTCCCATCCAGTGCTGGGAACAGGTATCTTTCTGTCAGATACAACAAGCTTGGTACCCATTTGCTGTCTGTTGGAAGAGTTCATCTGTGCCACAGTCTGCCTTGGGTACGCTGTGCAATTTCACAGTGACAACCCAGTTTAAAAGATGTTTTTCCTGCTTTGGTCATGACAGGAAAACCTGGAGAAGAAAGGACCACGGGTTCTTGATCTGGAGCTGGAATTCGACGAACGGGCTGTCCTCATGGAGAACATTGTCTACCTGACAAATAGTTTGGAGGTGAGCACTTTTCAAGGAACACTGATGGTTCAACACACTGAAAGAGCTTGAAGGCACTGAATGTCTCCATGTACTTTTTCTGAGGTTACCCATGTAGTTAATTTTTAAACTGCATTTCAACTTGCAAAGCACCTGATCTCTACAAAACATGTCCTTGAGTTGGGTGGGGGTGAGATCAACCTTGACTTTCTACAAGAGAGACGACTCTCATCAAATGCAATCAGATGTTTTTATGCTTCATCATTATCTTAGTGTCTGAATACTTAAAAAGTGTTATGTCCACTTAGCTTGCTCTTTTCCCCAAGGTGAAAGTATTTGGGACTTCTCAAGCATTGCAGTAGAGAACTCCATAGGGGTCCTCTCTCCAAGCATAACAGTATCTGCTTGTAAGTCAAAACTACAGCAGACTGCTTGGAAATATATTTAAGTCCACAGCACAGGTGCCTGCCCTTAAACTCAGTTTGTCTGAAGCATCTTTAATTGGAACCCTCTGTGTTAAAATGGAGACAATCAATATGTGCTTAACTTAAAGATTTAATTTTATACCACCTTCCAAAAGGCCAGTTCTTCATCCTAACCTGCTAATGTTCAGGAGGGATTTCTCCCCTTTTATTCTAAAGCTGGAACAGATAGAATTGAAGTTCGCTTCTGAAGGAGATGAGAAAATTAAAGAAGACTGCTGTCCTGGAAAACCATTCTGCGTCTTCAGACTAGAGGTAAGTTTGTAGATCTATTGTGTCTGTTTTTTTCTTGTTCTGCTTGCACAGAAACTTGGTCAGAGCATTCTGTGAATGTTCCACAACACCTGCCCCCTGTCCCCCCAAATTCTGTGTCTTGGCTTCTTCTAAGCATGATGCTGCAATGGGGCTGGATTTTTATGTAGCTAGAGTAATAAGTGTGTGTGTGTATGAGTGAGTGAGTGAGAAGAGCAAGGCTATATATTGGAAGGATTTGGTGTGCATGTGTTTTCACCAGGCTGTTCATTGATGATAGTGCTAAGCTGGATTTATTCTTCCCACAACATGTCCATGTGAATGAATGATAACAATTCTGCAGAAACTGAAAGGTGGCCGGGAGGTACCCTTCCAAAAAAGACCCAGTGGGTTCCCTCTCAACAGTATTTGGTTGCAGCCCTTTTATAACGCCCTCTGGAACTTGGCATTTTCAAGAGCTGCGCAGGGCTGTCATGGACAGGACATTTTGAGGTATTTCATTCATAGCGCTGCCCTAAGTAGGAAATGACTCAACAGCACAGGGCAACATCATAGAACTTGGCCCCTGTCAGCATGTCCCACCTCAGAGTTCTGCTTCTTGGTTGATTCAAACATGATGCTGGAGTGTGGTAGCATTCTGGGAACTGGCTTTGTACTTTATATTTATTTACTGTAATCTCTAACTGATGTGGAAGTGGGAGACCCTGGAATCTTTCCTGAGTTTTGCTGATTGCCAGTACCAGTAAGGGCCTTGCTGTTTCTGGAGATGGAATAATCTTGCCTTGCAGTTGGAATGAGTAGGCTTTTGGCTTTATTTTTCATGGAGTTGTGACAGCTCTGCCTCAGTGTTCTGGGTATCCTCACTGTCAAGTTGCTGGGTATACCTCACTTGGAGGCTGGACTGGATGGCAGGTTCCTGTATTAAGAAGAGTGCTGCCTCTGCCATGGGCAAAGAGAATTGCTAAGGCTTAGACCAGGCAGGGACATTATATGCACTGGTGCTGAGATTTGGAATATGGTCCTGCAGGGAGCAAGAGGTAGATGTCAAGCTTACCGTTGACAGGTAGTGTAGTGTAGTGGTTAGAGAGCCACACTAGGACCTGAAATAAAGGTTCAAATCCCCACTAAGCTGCGATGCTCAATACGTAATGTTGGTGTAGTCACTCTTTCCTAGCAGCCAAGAGAGGACATTTAGCCGCACAACACACCTGTGAGGCTAACATGAGTGGAGAAGATTGCTACCTTGTATTCTCTGGAGGAAAGGCAGAATAAAGGTTAACACACACATATACTTACATATATATGCTTAAGTAGCCAGCAGCCATTGCACCAGAGCATGCCAGATGGATGAGAAAGAAATTCCAGCCCTGCTGAAAGATGTAACTTCCTTACCCGACGTTCCTCCCCATTCCTTTTTCCTTGCACATCACGTCTTTCTAGACTCTAAGTCTGCAAGCAGGGGGCTGTCTTGTTTTACTGACTGTATGAAAGCTTCTGAAAGAGCCTTTTTGGCTGCAGGGTGGAATAAAAATGCTTTAACTAAATACTGGGTATACCAATGGCAACTGAAATGTTCAGACGTCATCTATGTATCGTGTTGTGCCAATGGAAGCAAACCACACTGGCAAGCTGGGATCCAAAGAACACCATGATGAGTTCAGAGTCCCTGCCTTCCTGTGTCTTGCTGAGCTGCTTCTGCCTTTCTTGTCTTCTTGCAGCCTGGTGTGTCTGTCTTTCTGGTAAATCCTCAACCAGCAAATGGCCATTTCTCTACAAAGATTGAGGTCAGGCAAGGAGATGGTCGAGATACAATAATCAGACGCTTGATGAAGATGGACAGAGGAATCAAAGGTAACATTTGGGTTCAGGTTTATTCCTCAGCCATCCAGGTTCTGCATTCCTACGTGATGTCTTGTTCACTTACTGCTGCTTGTCAAAAGTTCATTTTCTTGCTCACCTGGCATCTCTTCATATTGAATCTAATTAATGGAACACACATCCCTTCTTGTTGCTTTACTGTTTTTTATTAGTAGTTTTCTGTAGCACTGCTTAGGGGCAACACATATCACAGTTTTAGTCAACCTGTGAGTCAGATGCTAAGAAGCGGAGCATTCATTGTATTCCCCATTAGGTTTTTCTGAGATTGGACAGTGGTCTATAGCACTAGCTTTTATAGAAGCTACCTTTCTCATGACAGAAGTAAAGGGTCCTGCTGAGGCCAATTTACATATATGTAGGAAAGGTGATGTACCAACATGTTCTGTAGTTCATAGTCTAAACAAAATTGCATGTGCCCAAATGTTAGAGTCAGACCCCCCCCCCCCCCGGTGTCAAGAGGAGGACTGTGTACACCAAAATGTAATGGGATATAATAAAGCAGGTTTAGGGTCAGCTCACTTTCCAAATGTTCCCTATGGTCCTTGCATACAGAAGCATGCTTGTTTTCCTTGGGAGCTTTAATGTAAAAGAGGACATCACACTTGTGAGGTGTGGTCCTCCCCCCAAGTAAACACAGCGTTCCAGAGTTTCTTTTCACAAGGCTTTACTGCTAGGCATCACTATAGAGGCACATCTCTGAGTTCACCCAGCCTGAAGTGTGGAGCCCTCTCTCACTTCCCCTAGTCTTCCTCCTCTTTATGCCCCCGTTGCCTGCACATCCCTGCAGGCGGCGCGCTCCAAAACCTAGTCCTTTTGCCTTCTCCCTGCTTCTCTGTTAACTGAATTTTCTGCCTATGCTGTCTCCTAGCAACTGGTGTCTCCTCCTCAAGCAGAGGGGTCCCTATGTCAGACTGCCTGCTCAACTCCTGCTGGCCTGCTATTGGTAGATGGGAGCTTTTCACAGTCCGGCTGACAAACCCCTCTTCCCATTCTGCTATTTCGTTGTTCCCATGGGCCCATTCTGGCACTTTGCCCCAGTGCTTGGGCACAATAATCAGATGAGGACCGAGGCTTAGGAAAAGATGGGGCTTGGGCTCTTTATGAGCCCACCTCTGGAGAAGGCCCTAAGGATTTTTGTGGTTTGGGCAGTGACCAGTTCAGTGTGCTAGCTGGACCCTCGGGAGATAAGGAGGGAGGTGGAATCAACCTGTGTCTTCTCTGGCTCTGAGCCAGCATGCAGGAGGCATCCCGGCTGCTCCGCAGGGAGTCCTGATAGCCAGGATGCCAGGTTTGTAGCTTGTCTCCTGAGGTCTCAGGAATGGCAACATTTTTGCAAGGCTAGTGTTTTCCCTCTATTATTTCCTTTTCTTTCACATTCTAAGCACTCAAGAAATAGTTTTCTAAAAACCCAGAAGGTAATAAAACGGTGACTCAAGAGATTTTAAATAAGAGTCATTTTGTGCCACTTGTGGAAGAAGCCCTGAATGATAGAATATCTCCCTACCCTGGCCCCCAACCAGATGTGCTGCACTACTACTCCCATCATCCCAGGCCAGCATGGGCAGTGGGCGGGGTCCCTGTGTCTGATATCAGGCCCTTTGTTAGGCTGTAGAACGTTGTGGCAGCAGTCTAGCAAGGTCTCTGGAGTAGGCCTAGAGCCTAGCCCATGCCCACTGTGATCCGGGTCTGAACTCCAGAGGAGAGTAGTGCTCCTCCTGGAGTTCTGCTACTGGGGAATTCTTTCTGAACCCCAAAACCTGAAGCTCACCTCCACTGCTAGTTACTATCTGCTTATGTCAGACTTGATCCTGTGGCTTAAATGGAGAAGATGCATTAAGCCATTACAGGTCTCTTGAGCCTCCCACTCAACTCACACTTTCCTAATGCATGAACTGCATTATTTTTTCATCTTAAATTTCAGAGTGTGCAGTATTAGTGAGAGTAAGTATTAGCTCCATCTCCCTGAAAGCACTTAGGGTTCATTGGAAATAATGATTTGCAGCATAAAGGCATTAAAGTAAATGTACTTTCTCACTCAAGAGCCAGGTTTCATATCCATAGCTACTGTGAAAAGGTATCTCTTTTTAGCTCACAACATGGAAGTTAAGTTAGCTATAACAAATTTCCTTTCATCAATGCAGCTTAAAAACTAATTTGCAGTTTTAGATTATTGTAAAAGTAATTATGTTTTCAAAAGTGTGTCCTAGCCAGTGTTGGGGTAAGAATTTTGGATTCTTTAGTTCGGAGAGTACTTTCTCACTATTCTCTGTCTGCATCACAGTCCTTCTTATTCTAAATCTTAGATTTGGTTAAACTGTGTTTAAATGTAGATTGATAATGTTAATTACAACTTCTAAACATCTGCTCATAATCCCCACTACCAATACCAAATGCCCCCAATCCAAAATAAAATAATTAACCCTCTGAAAGATGCCCAGTCTTTGGCAGACCTCCAGGAGGATGTTTCAGTAGTAAACAGATGGTCTTAGTGTGCAGTGAAATACGTGTGTGTGTTTAACCTAAGCTTAATAATGACCAGATTCGTACAAGCACCGCAGTCTAATTTGGCTTATTTAAACTATAGTGAGTTGCACATGCCATATTTGCATGACATGAGCCAGATGGCACCATAACCCATGGTGGCTTCAAGCCACTGTGGCATGTGGCAGCAGTGCAGACTGGCCCAGTATGTCCATGGGGGCGGGGCTGTTATTTCCCCTCCAGATTTCTAGCCCTATATGGGAAAGAGTACGGATGAGCTGTGTCTTGCGCACCTCCCCTGCAGGCTGCCTTGCCTGTCTGGTCTTCTAACAGAAGGCTCATCTGGACCAACTGGTTTCCTGTAGTGACTTGCCTTTCCATTTACATTTTTAAAGTTAAGCCCTGATTAGAGCATTTTGAGTGTTGCAATTGTAACCAATAGCCACTGGCCTCTCTCTGGGTTTTGCCCCTTTCCGGTAAGCAAGACATTAGGCGTAAATCACAGGCTGTTCTGCTGGACAGATCTGACAGGATTCTCGTTATAAGGCAGGGATAATTTCTTGCTTGTTCGGTGGCTTTGCTGATTCCAGCAG